TATGTATGTATGTATGTATGTATGTATGTATGTATGTATGTATGTATTTTTTCCAGATGACATTTACAGGGGTATTAGGAGATGGTTGTCCTGGTGATATGAATGGTAACTGTATAATGAAATGATCTGAATGTCTCTGTCTTCCCCCAGCCTTTCAAAGACTTCCACAGAGTGAGCGGGTTTCCCAAGGACTAAATGGAGACCTTTACTTCTCCAATGTCCTCCCAGAGGACACCCGTGAAGACTATATCTGCTATGCCAGATTTAATCACACTCAAACCATCCAACAGAAGCAACCTATTTCTTTGAAGGTGATTTCAGGTAAGAGCTCAGCCTCCCAGGTCTCTTTCAATTGTGTTTATATTATGTGAATCAGATTATTAACAATTAAATACAGTCTGACTCCAAGGTAAATCAGTTCAGTGACCAAGAAACTTCCTGCAAAGGCTCACTAAAGCATTAGCTTATATGCTAGAAAAAACACGCAAACCCTAAATATTATTGTCATTTACATTTCCCACTGATTACCATTCCCGTTTCCCTGGCAACCTCCTGCCTCTATGGTGCTCTGAGCATTGCTGTATGCATTGTGCCCCACAATGCCTTTTATTGGCATTTATCCAGATCAAGTTGCAGTTGGGGGTGGTAGAGTGAATTCTGAGTTAGCCAGTATGATGTCAAGCACTGTACTTTCCCTGAAAGAATGGCATTTAGCCTAGATGTATGCCTTTGTTTCTGTTGCCCAATGGTTTTTAACCCTTCTCACCTACTTCTGTGCCCTCTTCATGATATTCTGTTTATTTCAGTGGATGAATTGAATGACACTATAGCTGCTAATTTGAGTGACACTGAGTTTTATGGTGGTGAGTTACAGTGGTTGAAACTGATATTCTCTCCTTCATTGTAGACTTTAGTTCACTAACTTCACCTCCATGGCCGCTTAACCTTGTTTCTTTAGGAAACTTCTAGTTCCATGTTTAATATCACTGTATCAATGTGCGTTTCTTAAGGAACTTAGCTGTAAACTTTCAAGCACGTCACTGAAACATGTTCCATGATGTACGTACAATTAAACTTGTTACGAAGTTTCATGTAAACCATTTCATACGCTTTAGACAAAAAAATCTGTCATATGTGTCTAGAATTGTATTTTTCATACTTTGTGTTGTCTATCAACTTTTTGCATGGCCTACAATATAATCTGATTGGATGTATTAACCCCTAGAATATTGACTCATAAGAACCTTCAGTAACTAACATAGAGTACACTCCATAGTAATCATCTAACCTTCCTTAAGTTTTTTAAGGAATAGAATTGGCAATGTTGCTTTTAGCTTTGTTAGGAACCTAGTCAATGTTTTCTGTGGGAGGAAACTTTTAAAAATAGATCATTCAGCTTCATTGTATTAAATTGAAACAAATTTGATTTCCTTAAGGAAAAAGTGACTGTGAAACATAAAATCTGTCACTAAACAATAACGGCTCTGGATGTAAGGGCTTTTTAATTCCCCACAGATGGAGTTTCTGCTACATTAATTTTTAACCTTTGAGATATGAACATTGCAGAATATGGCAGATATCATTCTCACCTTTATCGATTTAATATAGTTCTCCCAAATATGGGCTCAAGACTCTTGTCAAGGTGATTTTACAGGAGTAAGATTCCCTAACCACCTCTAAAGTCCTTAAGAAAACAATTTTTTCTCCATCAATACCATTTTGAGTACTTAGATTTTTCTTTAGAGAAATGAGAAATTTACATATTGCCTTTTCATTTGGTTTTAGAAGCATCAAGAGCATCATTTATGGTTGAAACAGTGAAAGATCTTGGATATATCTACTTGAAAATTTCCTCAGGCCTTTTGTAGATAAGGTCACATTAGTTAAAAGTCCATAAAACAAATATGGACATTTCTAAGCTCTTTGGCTTAGACCTTCTTTATTTTGTCATTGGATAAAACAATTTCCATGTGTTCAGCTCTGCTAGTATTTCTTTTCTTTTTTCCAAAAGCTAGGGACAAAGCCTGGGACCTTACCAATACTAAACAAGCACTGCCATGAAGCCACGCCTTCAGCTCCTCTGCTGGAAATCTTTATTCACAGCATAAAAATTTCCAGAACTCTTTAGAAATTCTCTAGTTTTGTTTTATTTTTCATAAAACTTGCAGTGTAGGAATCTTGAAATATAAGTCAGTGGCAGGGGCTATAATGCTATGTCCAAAATAAATCAAATCTTTGTCCATAATGATTTGCTGCTGAAAAAAAAAAAAAAGAAACCTAGCATCTTTCAAAAGACACACTTTTTGCTTTGACCTGAGCACTAGTCTTAAGGAATGTGATGAGCTGACATCTCTGTGTTGACATTTTGGAGATTTACCAGCCCACAGATAATTGATAACAACCTAACCCAATTAAAGACATGTACGAAAAAGAGTCCTTGACACAGCTTTGCTCATGCAATCAAAATTGTTCCTCTTCCTGGTTCACCGAACGGGTGTAAGGAGAGAGTGTGTATGTGTAACTTAAGTTTCAGAATAGGCGTTCAATGGATTTGAAATGAGAGTAGAATTTTAGGCAGCTTTTGACAGCAGCTGTGTTCTTAGAAGCACATGTTCATAATCTTAATGTATATTGGTTTTCTTGTTTGCAGCTAAATCTAGTAAAGAGAGGCCACCAACATTTCTAACTCCAGAGGGCAATGAAAGCCACAAAGAGGAATTAAGAGGAAACGTGCTTTCCCTCGAGTGCATTGCAGAAGGCCTGTGAGTTAACATGTTCTGTCCTGATGCTTGCTTCTTATGTAACAGATTGACAGGCTTTACTATCCCAGGAAGAGCCATTGTTTTATGCTTAAAATTTGACCGAAATTTAAAAAAAATTAACAAACATTTCTCGAGTTAACTTTGAATTACGTGTTATTGCTAAACTATTTTGATGTAACAGTGTTCGTATTGCAGTATGTTATCTGTTATCTATCTCTGTAATCATCTTACAACACTGATCACTGTGCTGTAATGGGGGATAGACTTTTGCTGCTTCATAATGAACAACCTCAGAATTTGGTGGCTTAAAAAAAATCTGCTACTCATTTTTGATCATTTGCTGAGTGCTCCTGAGAGGGGGCCTTTGTAAATGGAATAACTGTGAGTTCATTACTCTCAAGGTCTGCCACCTGGAGCACCTGGCATGTTGGCAGTCTTACCCTCTCTTACTGTTTGTTATGAAAAGCTCACAGCACATCTCAGGGCCTCAGAACTGAGGCACTGTCCCTTCTGTTCCTTCCTGTGGGCAGAGCATAAAGCCAAGGTGCTCATCTGTGCATACTTCAAAGCCCATGTGCCTTTGGCAGGCATTCTGGCAAGGCCTTGGGCAGGTACAAGAGCAATTGTGAACTTGGGTCCACGTGTCAGGCAAGTTTCTAGATTGCCTGGCATATAGCAAGTTTCTTTTAATGATCAGAGTTATTTCATCCCTGACTGGGATCCCAGGAACACACTTCCTTCACCTTTTGTGATTTGTGTTGTCTATGAACTGGACAGCCAAAGATCATACCGTCTTTCCTTAAGGAATAAATACTTCTGGATGCGCATGGTGCCCTCTGCTGGCCGAATCCGGAAATTACACATTTGACATGCCATTCCTTCCAGCTTAAACATTTAACAAAACTCTTAAAATATGACAATCTTTCCTAACAGAATTTAATTTTTAATTTTTATCATTTTTATAGTCAGACACCAATATGACACCTAGCAAATTTTATATTTTAGCACATTTCATGTTTTCAGATTAGGAACAATTAATGTTTTTGTTTTTTGTTTTGTTTTGTTTTGTAAACTCTGATTGTAATTTGGAAATACAAAAGAACTGACTTTTAAAATGTTGAAATCTTGTGAATCCATGGTTGGAACTGTACTTTTTTACAAATCATGGACCTTTAGGCTGAGTAAAGCATTCATCAGCCTCTAAGTTTGTTCGGTGGAGCAGGAGCCTTGCATAACAACTGAAGGCTTTGCTCAGTGTAAACCATCACATTGTGTGTCTATCCCCATCCCTCTCTCACCTCATCTGAAACTTGAGCCAAGCTGTTGGGAAACATCCTATGTTGTCAGATTTCACATGTGACGAATACTTCGAAAATTATCTCACATCTTCTGCAGCTTTGCATATTTACAGCATGTGCTAATTTTAGAAACTACTTCACCAAATTTATATGCTGTCATTTTGTTCATCCAAACAAAGCAAAGCCCATGTTACAGACTGTCATTAAATCCCTCTTGCATCTCTGATAACAAATATAGCAATGTCCTGAGAGTTGAAATGAGCCCTTCTTCCTTGCTATCTTCCCGCCACACATGGCTGAGCACACAGGCATGTGCGTATACACACATATGTTTATGTTGAACAATTTAAAAATTTTGTCTCATGTAAATTCTGAAGATGTTATACAAGCCAACCATTCTCATTAAAACAACTAGAGATTGAAGGCACAAGTCAGGGAACCAAGGTCAGAGAAGCATTTAAGTGAGAACTAGAATAACATTAATCTGATCTATTCTTATCAGCTAGCATAATGGTATTTTAAAATTTAAAATGGTAGTAAAGTGAAGAACATAATCCTAATCATTAGTCATTTAATTCACATCATCGGTGTATTATAAAATAGTAGGTTTCATCAGGTTGATTTGTAAATATATATAAAAGTCCAGAAGTACTGATGTGCATGAGAGTGGATATCTTTAATGCCAGCTGATTAAATTAATCAATATGATTAGCTTAATAGTAATTCTCTTGATTGGCGTAGTAAAAGTCTGTAGAGCAGCCTCACTGAACAGAAGTTTGGAGAAAAGATTAGGTCCCTTGAGTAAAGCAATTCATGCTTAGGGTGCAGCATCACTGAGGTCAAACATTAGTATAGTTCTAATGATCTGAAAATGGAATCATTTCAGAAACAGGGTCTGAGCATTACTTATAAAAAAACATGATGTTAATGAAAAGGTCTGTATGTTTGTCATTATCTTTATATAAAGAATCGATTATAAAATTATAAATGTCCATGAAAATTCATTCTGCAAAGCCTTCACAGGCAAACTCCTCTTCCTTTGTAACAGCATTACTTATTTATTCCCTCAGACCTACTCCAATTATTTACTGGATCAAAGAAGATGGGACACTTCCTGCCAACCGGACGTTTTATCGGAACTTTAGGAAGACCTTGCAGATCGTTCATGTTTCTGAAGCAGACTCTGGAAGTTATCAGTGCATAGCAAAAAACGCATTAGGAGCCGTCCATCATACCATTTCTGTCACAGTTAAAGGTATACCTTGATCTCAAATGCATCCCGCTGGCTTTTGTGGAGGCTCTGAAACTTCGGTGACCATGTTCTTCAGTAATGAGAAATTTAAATTTATATCCACATTCATCGTGTCATGAACCTTTTCTCATTTCTATTGTAATTGCATCCAGGCCAGATTTAAAAAAGCCACTCATTTCAAATCTTCCTCGAAGAACTGCAATTAGTAAACACAGAAGGAATAGTAAAAACAGAAAGCATCACAATAGTCCCACAGAGATAACTACTACAGGCAAGATCCAGGGAGGAATTCTGAAATTAGTGGGTGAAAACAACTCTAAGGAGAAGCAGGATATTTGCATAGCTTCAAAGTGTTCTGCTCTCCATTAAAAAACTAGTGGCTGGGACATTTTTAATGTATGTTTACTAGTAATCATCCTTGGAGGAAAAGGAAGCTATGTCCTCATGGAGAATGTGCCGTACTGGTGAGCAGCTGCCAAAGAATAAAGCACAGATTACAGGAGCGTATAATTTTACAGAGGAAGCACTGGCAGATACTACCTTAACCAAGTGGCGAAGCTGAACATTGCTAATAAGTCACTGCGGTCTCGTGTTTTCCTTGGAGTGGTGTGATACGAAAAGACGTATCGCCACTGTGATATTCTTACGACCCCGAACCTTGAGTTAATCATTAGAAAGCATCAGACAGACTCATCGAAGACATTCTATCAAATGTGTCTAATATCCTCCAAATGTGTCAAAATCATGAAAGAAAAGATCAAGAAACTCCCAGGCTAACAAACTCAGCCAGTGGGTATGACGTAGTAACCAGAACAGGGCGATGGTCATTTTCTGTCTTGTATATATTCACAATCCAGCTGTATAAAAATTTGATATTGGGGAACTGGAGCATAGGGAAACTGGAGCAAAGGGGTATAGGACACTGTGTTCTACCTTGGCATCTTTTCTTGTTTTAAAATTGTTTCTCTATTTTATAATTCCATAGCTCAAATTCATGAGACTCTCCTTACACTTTAGAAAGTCCACAGAATTATTTGAATCAATTCTTATGTTTTTTTCTTCATTCTAGAAAGTGATGCTAACAAGTCTTTTTTAAACAAACAAACAAACAAACAAACCCATAAAACCCATTACAACAGTCTGATGTAATCTTTGGCTACAGTACTTTTTGAGTCACATGTTTTTCTAAATTTGTTTTTTTTTTCTCTTTCAATAAAGCTGCTCCCTACTGGATTGTGGCACCTCAGAACCTTGTGCTTTCCCCGGGAGAGAATGGGACCCTCATCTGCAGAGCGAATGGCAACCCGAAACCCAGAATTAGCTGGTTAACAAATGGAGTCCCAATAGAAAGTAAGTGTCCTTCGGTGTGTCTCTAGGTGAAGGTTATTTTCAAAAGTGAACCTGTATCTCAGCAACAAACAAATGCGTGGTGTTGAAATAATTTACCTTTAGTATAGAAGTTGACTGTAAAGTTAACAGAGGCACCTTTAAACTTTTTTATTGTCTTTAAATACACACACACACACACACAAACACACAAACACACACACACACACACACACACACACACACACACACATATATATATATATATATATATATATATATATATATTAAAGCATTTATTAAAATAAAGTTTAAGCTGGGCAGTGGTGGCACATGCCTTTAATCCCAGCACTTGGGAGGCAGAGGCAGGTGGATTTCTGAGTTCGAGGCCAGCCTGGTCTACAGAGTGAGTTCCAGGACAGCCAGGGCTACACAGAGAAACCCTGTCTTGAAAAACCAAAAAAACCAAACCAAAACAAAAAACAAACAAACAAACAAACAAACAACAACAAAAGTTTAAAAATAACTTGTGATAAAAACATAATTCTGTGTATTAATTGAAACTTAATAATATTTCTTCATAATTTTTAGCCCAGACAGTGGGGAGAATCTGTCACCCACAGTTTACATTAGCTTTCTTTGGAAACTTCAGAGTCTGCAGAGCCTGACAGGGTGTCTAAGGCTGAGTTAGTAGATGACAAAAGAAAGAACCATCTGTCTGACCTTAGTTTTCAGTCCTGGGGAAAGCACCCACCTGAATCCCTCATGTTCTCTAGTCTTCAGAGGTCAGCATCCCACTGCATACCTGAAGGACCTGGTCCTTAAGCAGGATGCCAAGCATGCTGCCACTTTCCTCTCCTGAGTCTTGTGAGGGCATCTTCTGGAGATCTTTAATGAAGACATTCAGGCACTGGATGCGTTTGAAACTGCCCACTCCTGTTCTTCAGATCTATTCCTTCCTTTTTTTCATTAGCCAACCTTCCCAGGCTATCACTATGCTACCCACAGTGGCCCTTTAAAGTGTGTGGCCAGGGAGCTTTCATGAATCCCCCAAGTCATAGTAAAGGCTCAATTTATAAAACATTATTAGAGGACTGGAGATATTAGAAGGGATGTACAACAAAGCAAGAAAAAAAAAGGAGTTAGGATTGCCCCTCACTGCTTCTGTACTCCTAAGCCTCCTCCTTACAGAGAGCAGCCCCTGTGTGTGTGTGTGTGTGTGAACAAAGTAGATTTCTGCTTCAAGCCCACCCTCAGGCTCACCTCCCAGTCATTACCCTGATCAGATGCAAAGATTCTCTTTACTAATAAAGACATGTTCGTTCATACTTAGAGAACAACTTGGCTCTTGGTAGTCCCCCGCTGAAAAATCAGATCTCACTTCTACTTCCACAACAAAAGGCCCTTTGACTGACTTTTGTCAAACTTAGTCTTCCTTTAGGGTGGAAGATTCATCCCAGAGATGAAGATGTCTGGGAGATTTTCTGTTGAAAGACACGATGTTCCTAATAAGCAGGCACAGGAGGTGTATGTAGCTTTAGTCTGAGTCATTGCAGCCTAGGCCCTGAGTATTTTCTGGAGTGTTTACTGGGAGTTTGCTTGTGTCACACAGCACAGCAGTGATCAGATACTTGGGCAGAAGCAGGGTGTTTGCTGCAAAAGGAAATATGTCCTTGGAAGAAAACTGAGTCTAATGAGGCCAATAATTGGTACTGATATTTCTGCTCCAGTTTTAATTATGATCAGAGCAGAAAGTGCCACAAATCTTAGCCCCTGATCACATATCAAAGAGCTACTGTCACTCTGAGGGGATAGTGAGCAACAACTGAAGAGACAGAGTGAAAGGGAACCCAGAAGTGAATGATGGTTTCCGGTACAAGTATAGTTTAACTAGGAATGCATATATAGTAATAATTGCAATATTGAATACTCAGCACTTTGCACAGGAGGGTTTGGTTTTTTTTCCAGCTGAGAGGTATTTTGCAATATATAAAAGATTAAATGTGCTCCTGAGATTTAGGCTCAGCAAAAACAGACAAGTGGGAGGGAACATCCATTTAGCCACTCAGCAGGAAAACTGGGAGAGCCAGAGGCTGTTGAAGACATAAACTCATGGGCTTGGCAGTCAGGACACAGAGCTAAGCGGGGGAAATTGAATCATGTGTGAGAAATTAAGTGATGAGCTTGATCTTTCCTCCTGATCTGTTTATCATCCTTCCAAATTGGCCATGTTACTCTGCTTTTGCTGCCATAACAAAGTACCTTGGGCTGGGTAATTTATAAACAACAGAAAATTACTGCTCCGTTACCTGTACTGAAACTGTAAAATCCAAGTTGAAGGTACTTACAGAATTGGCTTCTGGGGCTAGCTCTTCCTCTGTGTATGTATAGAGACAGTCTTTTTCGAGTCTTTTGTCAAGGAACACTAACCTTATTTGTGGGAGAAGAGCCCTATGACCTAGCAAACTGCCAAAAGCCTGAGTGTTTGGACTAAAACCACCTTGGAGTGTGGGGTTCAACGTATGAACTTGTGAGGGCTATGGACCTTCGGAGGACAGCACCCACATAGCAACACCTGGGGGGAACCTTGGGCCCTATTAATAGTTGTATTATGAGCTTTGAATGTGTCTTCAAATATACTCTTTATGGTGAAATTCGAGGACAGGATGTTAAGGGAAGGCAATTGTCTCAGGGAGACAAGTTAGACTTTTCAACTGTAACCCCAAATCATCCAATTAGGTCCCAAACCGAAAGATTTTGGATGACATCTCTCAAATAAGATTCTAAATTAGTTTTTTTTTTCATCTCAAAAGTATATTCCCTTGGAAAAGAAGGAAGGGAGCCATGCAGATATGACAGGAATTCCACAGCTCTTTTAGACCTAGGGTGCTCTACTTCAGATACGCACAGTTCAGAGCAGCCTCTCTGGTGGGCAGTCAGTCAGGGGAACTCTGAACAGCAGGAGAGCACAGCAAGGGACTTTCCCCATCAGGCTGCTCTGGGGAGCTGCAAGCAGTTGCTTGCTTCCTTGTCACAGAGATGTGTTTCGTCTTTTTGAGCTTGGCCAAGTCAGAAGTGCAAGGACTGTTGTTATATGAACATTTCATAACTGAGGGTGATGAGCTGTCAGGGACCCAGCACAGTTCTTTAGCTGTGCCCCACCCATGGCCCCTGGCTTCTGGTCTCTGAAAAGCTGATGACTATGTTCTTTGAATGGAAACTAGGTCATAAACAGCCAATAGCAAAGAGATACGCCCTGATGTATATTGGCTTCCACTGATCCAAAATAAAGAGTTAGGTTAGGAAATAAAGCAAAAAAGTCATTACAGGCTTCAGGAGGTATACGCCCTTCTCCTTTCCACATGTCGACCATGGACTTAAGACTGCCTTTGAGTCTTAAGAACTATTCTGGAAACAGGCCAACTGCTTGCCTCTCATCTGTAGTTTGTTGAGTAGTGCCAGGCCATGGAAGATAACAACAATACAAAGGTAGAAAAACAGAAAACGGCAGTGTAGTGGCACTGGCTGAACTGCGAGGGTTACTATCTTTTAGCAGAGCCCAACACCTGAGGCCCAAGCTGACTAATTGGCATGATCGAAGGACCAAGAGACTGCAGAAATGTAGATCAGCTTTGCTTCTGTGATAGCACCATTCAGGGAATCATGCAGCATCCATCTCAGCTGCCTCAGATCTGTCTCCTGTGGCAATGAGAAGACACGGTCAGGGACCCACATGATCAGACACATAGCCTCCCTCTCCTGGATTGTGGGAAATCATCCAAAGACTCTGACTGGTTCATCAGCTTCATGCTACAAAGTTAGTATTATCAGGGGGAGGTAGCAGTAAGATCACAGCACCTGGGTGCGTATCTCACTGGCTTCTATGTCTTACCAAACAAGTGTATTAAATACAGAATTTACCCATAAAACACCAAAAATATTTGAAACAGTCCACAGTGGTTAGAAATTATGTAGTTTATAAGAGACCTGTAGGAGACCTCAGATGTGATCTGGAGTGCTTGAGAGATTGTGACGTTAAGAGAAAATACTTAAAACCTGCAGCAGGAGCAGTTAGTTCCCAACTCTCCTAGAAAGGGTGTATCCTTCAATGTTCTTTGCCTTCTCCATTAGAGCCCAAGCCATCCTAGTTAGGGGTTCCAAGGCCAAGACCCTGAACACAATCCCTGTTTCTGTCCAGGAAGGCAGTGAAGGAGTCTATTACTTGCATTTCCCATGGAACACATAATATAAAATCTCCCACTTTGTTAAAAGGCCCACTTGGCTCAGATCTGAGGAGGGGAAAGAACCAAATTGATAAGGAAGACTGCATTTCCTCCTTACACAATTACAAATGTTGTTTGAGTAACTCATGGAACCAGCCATGGGAATGGAGACCTAATTCAGAATATTCTCAAGATCTCATCAGAGTCTCCTCCTTCCCCTTTCTCTCAGAGGTAAAGGGTTCTGTCAGCAGGCTATGTCAGGGTAGAATAGACAGGAGGTAGGAAATTCAGCTCTTCCCCAAAGCTTGGTTTTATGTCATCTCCAATTGCTGTTTCATACTCTAGGAAATATTTATAAACTTGACTAAAACAGAAATCTGGAACATTAATTTCATTTAAACAAATGTTAAGTAAACCTGTCTATAATTTTCATATCTAAAAATGTATTTAATATTATCTGGTTAAACAAGCTATTTAATAAAGTTCTCTTTAAGTAAAATTATATAATTGATATGAATACATTTTAGAGATTGATGGTATTAAATACTTATAAGACAGCATTTTTACTTATTATCATTATTATCACATTCAAAATATTGGAGACATTACAGTTTTGTCATCCCTGTATATATAAAACTTTTTTCAAGACTGTCGCCCCACCTTTGGTCCTCACCCTTGAGGTTTAAAATTATCGACAGGGAAGCTACAGTCTGACATTTCTTTCTTCAGTGTTCATTTACAGCAAATGAAGTTGGTTGTTACTAGAATTAATTATTCCTTTAGATTATTTGAGTTTGCAAGTTGGCAAGCTGTTCCCACACAGTAGCCAGTACACAGCATCCAACGGTTTCCAATGGCTCTGTCGCAGTGACTCCATTCTGTGCCCAGCCACCAACTGAGCCACCATATGGCACTGCAGTTCCTAGGCTTATTTGTTTCTCAAGGAAAACATAATGCAGACTTTTGTGGAGGAAATGCTAATTACTCTATACCTGTGCTTTGAGTCCAAGTTTGTCTCATCCCTAAATGTTATGTCAGAAATAAGTATCTGAAAACTACTCCATTTAGCACAAATTATGTCGATGTTAATAGAGTCAGATGCCTTTGACACTGAGGGAAAGTGAACTCTGTAGCTGTACGTTGTTTTGTTTGTGGTTATGCATATATGCTTGGGGAAATTGTCCTTCTAGCTTTACCAGTTGAGCTCAAGGGTCATGGCAGTATAAGTTTATTTTCTATCTTAGGGTTAGGAATACGGCTCAGTGGTTGAGTGTTTGCCTAGTGTATTAAAGGCCCTAGCTTCACTTTTGCTAACTTAACCTTATACACAGTAGAATTCACAATATTCTACTATATACACAGTATATACACAGTAGAATGATATTGAATACACTGACATTGCTGTGCAACAATCCTCCAGAAGATCTTAATCTCACAAAAATTCAACTGTATCCTATTAACTGGAATATGCAGGTGTGATTTGTTCAGGGATGTGAGGAACATTTGTCCTATAGTCTGTTAGCTATGCTAAGAGTTCAGGTACTGTGCTCTGCCTGCTTGTCACACTCATTACTGTTCTTCAGTGTCCAGCATACCTTCAGATGTGCAGTCACAGTGGATATATGGTGGGCACCAAAATCCTCTGGGGCAGCCCTAACTTTGAATGTCTGAGTTCTAAGCCCATGTGTTGCGAATAATGCTCAGAGCAAAAGAGGCCAGGACATGTTTCAGCATGCCTTGCTAAGGCAGTAGACAGACATCCCTGCAAGTGCTGTCCACCAGAAGCCCCAATGACACAAGGCTTTGGATCTAGGAAAAGGAATATGGCCTTCCTTGATGTGTCCCTCACTCTCAGATCCATGACTCTCTCTGCTATAGCTGTAGGTCACTTCCTGGGACAATGTAACACTTGTTATTTACTGTTATTTACTGGTGCAATCTACATCCTGTTGAAGGAATTATGACTTCTACTTGTATTATGTTTGGAACAATGCTTTCCTTAAGGCATTTTGAAAAATTTTAATCAGTGATTGCAGATATAAGCCAAGGAGTCAATTCAAAGTATCTTGACACACCTTATCACTAGCAGAATAAAACTATTTCTAAGATGGCTTCACACTTTAGCCATTGATTGTGGTCAGACTTTTGAACACTACTTTTGTAAGACAATTGTGCTCCCCCGGGGAATAAGGGCACTAATTCCCTGAGAGCTAGCTCACAAGTTGAAGTTTTAATAATCCTTGAAGGGTAAGAACTTAGGCTTTATTTCAATTTATGATAGATTGTTAGAATAGTCTGATCTGAAACATCTAAAGGACTGTTGGGCTACAAGTGTAATAGTCAGAATGTGCAATAGTTAAAATAATGGCTCACAGAGATATCTGCATCTCAATCCTTGGAACCTGTGAACATGTAATCTCATGTAGCAAAGACAGGTTTTGTATACATGGGTAAGAGCTTTCTGATTCTCAAGTATTTGCGTAGATCCCAGTTTCATCACAAGAACCCTCAAAGGTGCTAGGCCTCTCCTGGCTGGCCGTGATCAGGGAGAAACATGATTATGGAAGAATTAACAGGAAATGGAAAAAACACTGATGGCTTTGATGGTGGTGGGCAATAATATGGACTAAAAAATTAAGAGTCCTCCAGAAAGCAGAAGGAACAAAGAAGTGGATTCCTCTGCAATATGAAGAAGGAACATGGCTTTCCTGGGATGTTGATTTTAGCCAGTGGGATCCTTGTCAGGCGTCCAATTGGAGAGCCAAGAAGTAGTGAATTTTGTGTTGGTTGGAGATAGTAGATTTGTGGTAAACTGTAATGGTAAGACACTCGTACAGAATGAATGAGCACAATAGTTGAGTGTGGAAAACAGAGGTGCGTAACCATAATTATAGCTGAATTTATTTTTATTAAAGTGAGCTAACACAGAGCTGAGCCAGATACTTTTATTTCAAAGTGATAATAAAGTTCCACTACCGTGATAGATGTGACTTTGATATAAAACCTTTTCTGGTCACCATAGAAATGTGTTTAGAATGGAAGGGCAGTCCTCTCGTGGTTGCTTTAGGCAGTTGCGGAGGGAGGGGTAGTATTATTTACTTTGATTCTGACCAGCATGCTAAGGTGACTTGCTCTTAAAATAATGTGGTGTGATGGTTCCCCCTACCCCACATTTAGCATTCAGAAAAAAAGAAATTTGCGCATCACAACACAACACAGCACAGTACAGGACTTCCATGTTGTTTGCTTTGCTTAGAACTAAATCCTCACATCCTGTATTACCCGGTCAGTTTCATTCAGCTTCAGCACGGATCAATGCTGGCTGTAACATGTTTTAAGTACTTAAGGGATTTAGCTAAAAAGAGTCTTTAAGAGAAATTTTATACATCTGGGTTCTCCTTTAGCCCCAGATGTGTGACCTGCAGGAAAGTGGATATTCTTCTCTTCCTGACTCTCATGTTCCCTATGCATACCTTTATTTTTTTCATCTATTCATTTAAGGAATAGGTTCTCAATGGGGGCAGATTTGAACTAGCCAGCATATTTTTCCATTTGATGACACGATATTACTCCCTCCTTTGGATAATTAACTTGCCTCCTGTTAAATAGATGGATTCTTTATAAGCATGACAATGTTTTCCTGAATTTGATATTCTTGCCCAACATGGACTTGCTTTTGAAGCAGTCTTCAGCATTAAAGTACAGTCCATTCACACAGTGCTAAGTGAGCATTGTGCATATTTTAGTGCCTGTGTGTAAACGCTACCTGAATGCTTTTCCTTTTACTGATACATATGCCTAGATCAGCCTGTATTTGTGTCCAATTTATGTAAGATCTCAAGATTTGCACATGTAACAAATGGCTTTTAAGCAGCAAGAAACATATATTTTCTCTTTTTATATTTAAACAGTTGCTCTCGATGACCCCAGCAGAAAAATAGATGGAGATACCATTATATTTTCAAACGTTCAAGAAAGCTCAAGTGCGGTTTATCAGTGCAATGCCTCTAACAAATATGGATATTTACTAGCAAATGCATTTGTAAATGTGCTCGGTAAGCTCTCCCTTTATTAAAAGAATGGAAAGTTAAATTAACAAATGCTGTTATTTTCTGCTCACTCAGCAAAAATGCATTATTCCTTTGCTACCTGCAATGTTTTAAGTGTTTTAAGCTACAAAGGATATTCAAGGGTAGATAAGCTACAAATCTTTTCTTAAGGGCGATTTTTGTCTACTCTTGCAATTCTTTCATACAGTTTTTCTATGGCAGATTCTCTACTGCAGAGATAATCAAACAGGCTGTTCTGTCACTGATGGTTTGATTGTTAAACCCTTCAAAAGTAAAATAGTGATTGTTCCTGTTAGCAATGGATATGCCAGCTCTTTCATCTTTAGACAGTTATTTACTATTCTATTGCTGTAGCAAAGGACCATGACCAAGGCAACTGATAAAAGAAAGCATTCTGTTTGAGGTTCATAGTTCCAGAGAGTAGTAAAGTCCATGACCACCATGGTGGGAGCATGGCAACAGGTAGGCAGGCATAGTGCTGGAGCAGTAGCTGACAGCTCACAGGACGAGACAACAATTACAAGGCAAGGGAGGTGGGGAGTCAACTAGCATGGTGTGGGCTTTGGAAACTTCAAAGTCCATCATCCCCAGTGACACAGCTTCTCACAAGGCCACACCTCCTGATCTTTCCCAAACAGTTCTATCAACTGCAACCCATGCATTCAAACATGTAAGCCTATGGAACCATGATGGGTTAGTCATTAAGCAATGGTATATTTTCCTGTTAGACACTGTGCTGTTACCAAAATGATTAAACAGCTGCATTCTTTCACTACAGGCTACTCAGTATCTTAAGAGATACACATAGTTGAATCAATGATTAAATAGCATAGAAAATACAGATAAGTAAATCAGTAACTGATTAACTCAAGTAACATGTTGAACACATATTAGGAGGTATTTTGTCTATGTTGAGTGGATATACTGATGCTACAGATGCAGAACTTATGGGAAATATCATGTTGGTTGTACTTTATCATAAACTTTAATGACCCTAAAACAAAATGTGATAAGTGCACTGTAAACCTAACGTGTATCTAGTGTTCACTGTACCTTTTAAAATTGTTTTAGCTGAACCACCTCGGATTCTTACATCAGCAAACACACTGTACCAGGTCATTTCAAACAGGCCTGCTTTGTTAGATTGTGCCTTCTTTGGCTCTCCTATGCCTACCATTGAGTGGTAAGTAATGGTTCTATTTGTTTTTCGATATCTAATTCTAACCATGTCTGGTTTTAGTGCAAAAACAGAAAAAATACAATACGCAGACCTCATATTATAGTATGTTTAATCTTTCTCAAATGTTTATTGACTACCAAATCTGTGGATATAATAAATACTTTCACATATGTAACAAGTATACTACCAGAATGTTCTATTAACTGCATATAAACTATTTTTAAGATTTAGGGCTGGAATATTTCACAGTGCCATGGCCATTGCATGGAACTTTGTGACTAGCGTCTGAAGGACTGGTTAGGAAACATGTTCTTGATAATAAAATACCTTGGGGTTGGGGATGAAGAGTTGACTCAGTGGTTAAGAACACTTGCTTTTGCAGAGGATCCAGGTTTGATTCCCAGTACCCAAATGTTGGCTCTCAACTCTTAACTCTTGGTAGCTGTTCATTTACATAAAACAATGAAATAAATATAAAATAAAATGGCATTGAGCTGAAGGAGAAGCTGTGCCCTCTAATGTCCCCTCTGGCCATTCACTTTCATATACCATTCCTGGGAGGAGTCCTTCAGCTGCTGCTAATTTCTTTGCTTTAGAAGAGCTAGACAGGCTAAGGGGAGGATGGCAGCTGCTGAGAATGTGTGATTAACAATTAAAACAGACATATATTGATTGTCAACTACTGAGAGGAGAGAGACAGCAGGCTTAGGAGTAAAGGGAAGTCTCTCCAGGCCCACTGTAACCACAGAGAATAGACAGGAACACAGATAGACTTTCTAGTAAAGGTGGGAACATTAACTTCGAACTCAGATTGACTTTTTCTGTCCCCATTCACCTGTCTCCACTTCTCCCACCTCACATGCATGTTTTCTTTCCATTGTCTGAGCATTTGCTGGTCCTACTCTTAGAGTATAATCTTGAGCCTTGAAATCAAAATACCTTTAAAATTTCATCTTAGAAATGGGAGAAATGCGTATTAAAATATACTCTTATTTTTGCCTATTTTGTCATCTATTCAAGGAAAAAATAGCAATGTCTTTATTTAATTATGTATCTCATAAAAATTGCAGCCCGTTATATTTTATCATTCTAAGTCTGCAAACTCCGTTTATTTTTATATGCTCCTATTTTGTGTGCTTTCCTTGCATGTTCCTCTGATGTGTCAGAAGAATTGCTTGTGGAAAACCCTTTAGGTTTTGGACAATGTTTTTGATTTTATAACTTGAAAAGTGAAATCTCAACAGATGTTTTCATGTCCACTTTATAACTGAGCAGAAATCTGACCTCTGTAGTCATTCAAAATGTCTTTGACCTTGACTCTTGCTGCTGGCCACTTTCTGTGTGTTTTATTCTCACTCTGGTAACTTTTGTTAACAAAGGTTTAAAGGAACTAAAGGAAGCGCTCTTCATGAAGACATTTATGTTTTACATGATAATGGAACATTAGAAATTCCTGTGGCCCAAAAGGATAGTACAGGGACATATACTTGTGTCGCAAGGAATAAATTAGGAATGGCAAAGAATGAAGTTCACTTGGAAATCAAAGGTAAAGCATTGTTAATGAGACTTTTTCAAGTACTCTATGTCCTAATAAAAATTATTCAGCTTTGCCAAAATGGATAATGATAATTTTGAATTTTAGATCCAACCAGGATCATTAAACAACCTGAATATGCAGTCGTTCAGAGGGGGAGCAAGGTGTCCTTTGAATGCAAAGTGAAACATGACCACACCTTAATCCCCACCATTATGTGGCTGAAGGACAATGGGGAGCTGCCCAATGATGAAAGGTATTTCAAGAGTCTTTGTTTCTCTTCCTTCTCTCTATCCTCTGCTCTTGGTCTAAGGCTTACTGACATCATGTTTTCCAGGTTTGAAGTCAGCTGTCCACAGAATCATGAGATACATATTCCCTTCCTACTGTAAAATACTTAGAACTAAAAGGGTTTGAAATGAGAGCCTGAGAATGTTGGGCTTTGGGTGCTGATCTCCTATGAGATTTGGGATGCAAAAATCCCTCCAGACTTTGGACAGCATCCATGGTTGTATAATTTTAATGGTGAAGTCTCAACACTTTAATCTGCACTCTACAAATAAGCAGAAATCCCATCTCATCAGGAATTCACCACTAGTTTTGGATATTTTCTTTCTTTCTTTTTCTTTTTCCTTTTTATAATTTAGACCTAACACCTGCAGAAGTAAAGAAAACCAAAACCAAGTAAAGCATTTAAAGGGGCACATTAATTTCTGTAGCTTGGAATAGAACAAAGATCGTGGTGTTTTCTATGTGAGGCCCTCAGGTTGACCTAGTAAAAACAGCTGCATGATTTTTGCTATTACAGCAGCCACAGGTGATACCCACTGCTAGGAGTGTTGTGTTCTGATAAAGATGGTTTTGGTGGTTTTCTTGCTGCTCATCTAAGCCCAGGATGACTAAATGGTACCCTATTGCTTGCTAATGACTCCACAACAACTTGCTGGCCTTTCTCACCATGTGCTCAAAGCTCTCTTACAAGTAAGGCTTCATCTCAGCAATTTTACACATGAAATCAGAGGTTGTAAAGAGAACAGAGCATGAAGAAATGACCATCAGGTTAGATCAGCTGAGTTTGACTTGAAATTACTTGGAAGACAGTTTACAATGTCTGCAGCCTCGTTGGAATAATACATGAATCCTGCACGCATTATGCAAATAACTTCTAGAAAACTCTTAGTGGAGAATGCTGATCTAGTGATGAGAAAGATCCCAATATTTTTCATAGTTTCTGCTATGGGACTTAATACATGTGTAATAATAATAATAATAATAAATAATAATAATAATCCATGAAATTTCTGTAGCAAGTAGTACCTTGTTTAAAAATTCTTTTCTTTTAAAAATAACCACATAACCCTTAGTGAAGCACTCTAGCTGAAGTAAATATGGAGCCCTCCCTCCCCCCTCAGGATAGCAGCATTAATTTTTACCAGCTCAAAAAAATTTTTAGGGTTGGAGAGATGGCTCAGAAGTTAGGAACACTGAGTACTTTTCCAGAACTCAGTATTCTTCCTGAGTTCAATTCCCAGCAACCACATGGTGGCTCACAACCATGTGTAATGGGGTCTGATGCCCTCTTCTGGTGTGTCTGAAGACAGCAACAGTATATATATACATACACACACATATTATATATGTATATATATATAATAAATCTTTAAATTTTTAATTTTAATTGGCATGCCATAATTGTACATATTCACAGTATACCATGTGACTTTTGGCCCTATCCATGGAGGGTTACTGCAGAATCTCCTAAGACTCCATAAGCCTGACTGAAAACCATTAGAGTTAATATCCCTCCTACCCCAAATGTTTTTCAGGTTTACTAATTACTAAAGTGACATATAGGGGTTAACTCTAATCGCTGAAGTGTTTATCATTCCTCTTTTTTATCAAGTTCATGGAGACCCTTGCCTGCTGGGAAGGCAATTGTCAACTGTGTCTCATTGTCATTTCGGCGGCTTTTCATGTGTTCTGTTTACAGGTTCTCCACTGACAAGGATCATCTGGTGGTATCTGATGTAAAGGATGACGATGGTGGGACCTACACATGTACAGCCAACACAACGCTGGACAGTGCTTCCGCCAGTGCTGTGCTCAGGGTTGTCGGTAAGGGCAAGAACAAACACAGTATGGGCAGACTTTCCATATTAGATGTGAAAGAAAATTGTAGATACTGAATATTTGTAAAAGTTTTATGGCTACAAGGGTGAATGACTTTCTTCTTGCAGAGAGGCCTTTCAGGAGACACTTTCCATATAAATATGCTCTGTGTAGATATAGGGACTGTGACAAAGTGGTGGATGTGCATATTTAATGACATTTATTTACAAAAAAAATCTAAGAAAGGTAACCTCTAATCTAGACTCAGAAGGGTTTTGTATTCCTAAATTGTCACTACCCGTTTGTCAATGCCACACCTCACAGCTAAGGAGGGAGCTTAATTAAAAAACAGTTATTGTGTTGCTTTTTGTCTTCTTCTATGTTTCCATGACTAATTTTGATTAAACTCCTTTATATTAATGTCCTTTCCAGCTCCTACTCCAACTCCAGCCCCCATTTACGGTAAACTAATGAGCCTTCTTTTTCTGTCTTCTGTCAAACAATTTTCCATTTGCAGACATCGCCTTCTCTTCTCTGTCACATCATTGCATCCCTTTAAAGAAAATGGCTGCCAATTATCATGGGCTTCATTTACCATAGTCAATTATTTCTTCTAACATTACAGTCTACGTAAGGGTAGACTATTTTGCTCATTGTATTTCCAGATACTTCTAAGTGTTTTATTTGCTGTTTTAGAATTATTCCATCTTATAAAAATCCCCCTTTGACAAATTCCTTGTATGGTAGTGTAAGTCATTTATCACAATCTGTCATCCATGTTTTATAGAATGAAAAAGCTGTTTCTTAGAACCATTCTGAAAGTTGGATTTTACTGATCTTCTTAAGATGTGTTTAGGAACCAGGGGAGGTTACTTAGTGGATAACAGTGCTTGCTGAGAAAACAGGAAGACATGAGTTCAAGTCTCTTGTACCCGCACATAAGCAGAACATGGCAGTACATGCCTGTAACTCAAATGTTGCGGGATAAAGACAGGCAGATCCTAGACAATCAGTAGCCAGCCACCTAGCAGACATCAGCCTCTGTCCACTGGGCTTTCTCACATGAGTGTATGCATTTCCACACTGCATATGCACACAGAAACAAATGTAACACACCAATAACAATAATAATACACATTAAAGATATACTATTTTGTTTTGAGATTCCAATTCCAAGCAGTGTACACCTAGGGGACAACATTAATGTCTTATGTCTGAGAAACTTACTCATTTTGTGTTAAAAGTCATCAGGGAATGAACAAAGGAAGGAGCCTAACAATGTCTTGTTATTTTTTGAGTCTGGAAAATAATCAGAAATGATCTCCAGAAACATGTTTATTTAGAAAACTCATCTTTATTCATCACACAAATATCAAACATAATTTTGTAGCATAATCTCAGCTAGATTTTATATAGAACCACTGAACATTTTCTAAAAATCCTGCGCTCTGTGGACATGTAGCACTGCCTTAGTGAAGAGAAAAAAGATTCCATATATTTATATGTCCCCTAGTCCCCCAGAACTCAGAGAGACCCTTCTAGAAGCAAAGATTTTTTTTTTTAAGTCTCAGAGAAGAGAGTTAACTTCAAAAACACCATTGCAGGAGGCAGCCCTTTTTCTCAGTGACCTCTGAGTCACTGAGTTATCTGAAAGTAAGAATGCCTATGCATGCAGAGACCTCCCTATCCTTAAAAACAGTCCTCACGCACCTCCAGATTGAATGTTCTCTGTCTCTCAGAACACTGAAAATTCTCCAAACAGTGCATGCCACTTTCCTGCATTTGTCTCTCACCTCTGACTGTTCAGCCCTCCCTGTCTCTTTGGAAATGAAGCTTTGGTGTTATTTCTGCCTGTACTAATTTCTGCTCGTGAGAGGACACATACTGAGTGTGCTGAAGGCATACTGTGCCTCAGTGGATTTGGCACTCCCTAATTTGCTGTCTCTTGAAAAGCAAGCAAGCAGAACTCCATGGCTTGGGTATGCAGTGTTCTCAGCAACCTCAGATGTATCTGTTTCATTTCCGCTGCATGCTCAGTGACCAGTAAAAGTGATGTCTCTAAGTTGTCCCTTTGTGTACAGTATCACAGATACAATAAAATTGACTTGCAAAAAGACAATTAACCATTTGTGTGTGTTTGCTCCACAGATGTCCCGAATCCTCCCTTTGATTTAGAATTGACCAATCAACTTGACAAAAGCGTTCAGCTGACATGGACCCCAGGCGATGACAACAATAGCCCCATTACAAGTATGTGGTGGTTTAGTTTTATGGCTGGTAAACCCAATGGCCACTCTTGAAGTAATTATCTCTAACAGTTGTACGATACACTGCTGTGATTCCTTGCAAATGCATTCATTGGCATTCTCATCACTAGTGTTAGAACCAAAGTATGATGCTCTTCAGAGATAGAGCTATTCCTGGTTATAGATTCTGGTACAACTAATTAATTCCTGAAAATGTTAATTAAGTAAGCACACTATCATTTGTGTTTAAGATCTGTAAGAATCACTTTATATGCCTCCACTGTCCTAGTTAGGGTTTCTACTGCTGCGATGAAACACCATAACCAAAAGCAACAGGGGGTTACATGTAACTGTTTATCATAGGAGGAAGGCAGGACAGAAAATCAAGCAGGACAGAAACTTGGAGGCACAATCAGATACAGAGGTGATGGAAGGCTGCTGCTTGTACCTTAATTAAGAAAATTTCCTACATGCCTGCCTACAGTGGGGTCTCATGGAGTCCTTTTCTCAACTGAGGCTCCTTTCTCTCTGAAGACTCTAGCTGTATCAAGTTCACATAAAACTACCCAGCACAGACAGAGTAGATGCATCTTGAAATAAATGTTTAATCCGCTGCTTCTAATGGTGATAATGTTCAGTCTAAATATTGGGAAATTGACTTTTTCAGACCCACAGTCTGTAATAGAACTGCTTCTATACAATAGGCCCTCGTCTTAACATAGGTGCTTATCTTCCCATTGTCCTTTTCCAAAAATGACACTTCTGAAAGTGTCAGCTCCTCACTCATCAGCGGAGAGAAAAAAAATCAGATGAGAGATCAAAGCATTTGGATACAAAGACATTTGTTAAATAAAAAGTATGATAGGCTTCAAGGCTTGATGAAGAGTATTCTGCAGTATGTGTGGATCACCATCAGGCATTTAGTTTCTTTGTAACTAGGTTGCTTCAGTTGAAAATCACACAGCAATGTGGATTCTTTTACATGTGTCTTTAGACCACATGGGTAACCACGTTTGCTCAAAATCAATTGCTAGAAGTACAATGCCTCAAAGACTGTGTATGATAAATATCGTTAGATATTCTCAATTGTCCTGTATACAAGTGTATCAATTTACACTTCCCAGGAGGTCTGAGAATGTGTCACCTTCAACAAAAGATGTTAAATATTTGATTACTGTCAATCTTTCTAGTAAAAAAAGGCTTCTTAACTGTATTCACTGTAGTTACTTCTTTTTATGACAATAATTGAGCATTGTTTCATATATTTAAACTTCCCATTGGAATGTGTGGATCAGCTCTAAACAGTTTTAACTAAGCTGAGCTCAGCATGGTAGAAGAAAACGCCAAATATTACACGAACTTCAGCATTGAACTCAGAATACCCTAACAAGATTTTTTTTTCTTGCAAAAATCACTCGTGTCTGACTACTCTTAATTGCCACAAGGTATTTACAGCAACCTGTCCTTAAGTTGACTGAATTCATTGTGTTGGGTTTGTGTTATGTGTGGTGTCATGGCCAGAATTCATCATTGAATACGAGGATGCAATGCATGAGGCCGGGCTGTGGCGCCACCAGGCTGAAGTTTCTGGAACACAGACCACAGCCCAACTGAAGCTATCTCCCTACGTGAACTACTCGTTCCGAGTCATGGCGGAGAACAGCATCGGGAGGAGCATGCCAAGTGAGGCGTCTGAACAATATCTTACAAAAGCTGCAGGTAAGGCTGGAACACTGGAAGCCGACAGAAAACAGGAGGGTTTTCCGTGCCTTCTGGAGAGCTGAAGCTTGCTCATGTGGGACTGCTTCATTTCTAGAACCAGATCAGAATCCCACAGCTGTGGAAGGACTGGGGACAGAGCCGGACAACTTGGTGATTACGTGGAAGGTGAGCCTGAGCCAGGAAGCATTCCGTTTGCCTCCACTTTTTAAATACTGAACAGAAAAAGGTTGTTTTAGAATAATATCTGAGTTTGTATTCCTTTTGACCCATTGTAGAAAAAAAATCTGTATTTAGAAGGTTACTTTGTATAATAATTAAGCAGTTCTATCTCTGTGATCAAAATGGACAGGTGAGAATCCCAGCTTTGGTACTTATAGTCAAATATCAAAAGCACCAAGGTACTTGTTGAGAAGTATATCTGTCAACCATCTGTATGATGGGAATAATAACACAGCTGCATATGACTAAAGGAACTAATGTATGTGGACTGCTTAGCATTATGCTTCACATGAATAGATGCTGAAAAACGCCGGCTAGCCGTTATTATCATCAGAAAGACCATTTGGAAGATGTGCATCAAGCTATTCTCAGTAGTCAAATTGTTATTACAATCATTCATACATTATCTGTGTGTTCTAGGTCTGCAAAGTTATTAATTAAAATCAAAATATTTATCTGCATAATGTTAAAACCTTAGATCTATTCACACATACATATATTCTATATGCATATTTATATGCATATATGATAGAATAGATGGACCCAAATTTTTAATTAAAAAAAAGTTTGTAAGTTTCCATCTAAAGATGGACAATGATGACACAAACAGGAATATATAAAGTAAATCTAGATAACTAAAATATTTTAAGAGTTACCCACATTTATTATGGAGCCAGTCTTTGGAAGGTTTGTGTGTTATTTACTACTTTAGAATTACAATTTACAATCTTTGAAACAGAGGAACAGACTCTGGATCTCATCACAATTAAGAAATGGGAAGATGTCCCTGGAGACGTGGGCATTTAAGAGCTTACATTTTAGTGTTTCGGCATTCACTTCCTTATATCTAGGAACTTGACTTGCTATTCCTGTAAATGGCTGTACAGTCATTCTGTTTGGCTTTTCTCATAGCCCCTGAATGGTTTTCAATCGAATGGGCCCGGCCTCCAGTACAAAGTGAGCTGGCGCCAGAAAGATGGTGATGATGAATGGACGTCTGTGGTTGTGGCCAATGTATCCAAATACATTGTTTCTGGCACACCAACCTTTGTCCCATACCTGATAAAAGTTCAAGCTCTGAATGATGTGGGGTTTGCTCCAGAGCCAGCTGCAGTCATGGGGCATTCTGGAGAAGACCGTAAGTGACCCCTGTCTATACCATTCTACTCTTGCCTAATGAACAGGTACACACTGAGGCTATTTCCAGAGCTACCTAGGTTAGCAAACAAGAGGTAGCAATCAGTTTGCTTATTTCACTGCATTTGTACAGCCTACTATGTGGATAAACAGAGATTCAGTGCCAGGGAAATAGCTTGGTGTTAGAACACTTTCTTAACATGAGTAAGGCTCTGGATTCTAAATCCAGAGCTTGTGGATGGGGGAGTGAAAGTTCACAGTATTAAAGTTGCTTTCATAGAGTCAGATGAATAAATAATGAAATGCCAACTGTTAACTGTCAACAATCCATAGGACAGGGCTCTATGATATAGTGTGGCACGTGCTTCAAGCCAAAGTTATTGAATATTGTGACTTTTTTTTCATGAAATGAAAAACAACAGCTATTTGCATCACCGCCATCCTTTTCTGTCCTCTTCCTAGTTCCAATGGTGGCTCCTGGAAATGTGCGTGTCAATGTGGTGAACAGTACCTTGGCAGAGGTACATTGGGACCCAGTTCCTCTGAAGAGTGTCCGAGGACACTTACAAGGCTATCGGGTAGGTGAAGGGAAACACTTTGTGTTCTTTACTTAGCAGCAGGGCCATGGTGAAGACCACTTGTCATATATACCATTTTAGGTTGAAATTATGTGGTTTGTCTGTTCATGGACTTCGGACTTCACAATTTTATTTACTCACTGTTCCCGGCCATGCCTAAAAAAGTCAGCTACAGTTGACTTAAATTGTCGCTTATCCAGGTTGGTAAAATGATGTTTTCTCTATATTTCACAGGTTTTTCCACCTGTTTTAGAACCTTCTGACGACTGAACAGTATATGTGAAATAAGGCAGATTGAGTTTTTAAGAACTAAAATGTAACAAATTGCACCTAGTTTAACAATAGTGTGGGGAACACTAATAAATCAGATCATAAAGACTTTAAGTATATAACTGAGTCATTCTTATGATCATTAATTATCTTTATTTAAAAAACCAGAAACATTGATTGCTAGAGATATTTTTATTCACATACCTACCCAAAGAACCCCACTTACATCACTACTTTGATTTGACACTGACCCCTAGAGGATTCTTTTTGTACTACACCATATTCTGTTTTTTTTTCCCCACCTAATAGTAACAAGATTCTGCATACACTAATTTATCTTCGGGGGGGAGGGGGCAGCTTTAAATTCTTAAGAAGCCTTCAAGAGAATGAAACACAAAAGTTCTCACCTTTTGACCAAAGATAGGCAACAACTTTTAGTCTTTCCAAAACCAGTGCCTAAAATGTAAAAGTACTTTCAATTAGATGGTAGTATGTCTTAATAAACCAATCTGAGACTTGCAGTACGGGGTTATGAGCCCAGTGGTACTACAAAAACAGTAATAATAAAAGCTTCCCTACAGTGAGGATTAAATTAAGTGATGTGTGGTCTATGTATAACTCTACAAGAGCATATAAACAATGGGCAGCAAAATTTATACAAGTGAAATACTTGAATAATTATTATGGTCATTTTCTCCTTCTGGAAAGAATCATGTGAATCCCATTCTGTTTCATTCATTTCATTTACAGTCCTCCAACACAATAGGATAGCACAGGTTTATTGTATAGACGTAAGTGTTGTCATTACATGTGGGTTTCTGCTCGCTTGTTTAAGAACCAGTATCCATTTGTTTTACTAATATTAATGCAAAATGCACCACGGTATTTATCTGAAAACCAGCAGTTCAGCTTGAAAAAAAAAGAATGGTGTGTATGTGTGTGCACACCCCTGTGCACTCCTACAAGTCCATAGGACGAGTGAGAAGGGAAAGGCCCACACCACAGTGAATGTGTGGAGGTCAGAGGACAGCTTTGTGGAGTTGGTTATCTCTTCCTACTTTTATGAGTTCCAGAGATCTAACGGGGTTGACAGGCTTTCATAGCAAGGGCTGTTACCGGCTGGGTCCCCTTGCTAGCCCCAATGTTTTGGTTTTGTAAGCATGGTTACATTGATTTTCTGTGCATCCCTGACTTTGGTTATTGCTACTTCAGATCTACTACTGGAAGGCTCAGAGCTCCTCTAAAAGAAACAGACGCCACATTGAAAAGAAGATCCTCACTTTCCAGGGCACCAAGACTCACGGCATGCTGCCAGGGCTACAGCCATACAGTCACTATGCTCTCAATGTCCGAGTGGTCAATGGGAAAGGAGAGGGCCCAGCCAGCACGGACAGAGGCTTCCATACTCCAGAGGGAGGTACGGAATGGGTGTGTCCCTGGGATCAAGGAGCATGTGGCATATCCTGAAAGGTTTTATATTACAGAAGGCCCTCCATTGAGAGAATACTCTGGAAGCAAATTGCATGATTAGAAATAATCACAAAACTGGAGAAATGTCACTCGAATATGACTGGTACCCACACATAAAACTTCAGAATGCATTATGCTGTCTCCAGATATGCCTTTCCCTTAAAATTTTCCTCTTCACTTAAACTATCTGAAACATTGCTAATGTAGTGTGGGAGTCATCAGCTTTCTGAGCTGAGTCACATTCTGTGTCTTCTCTAAGTATCAGTAGCTGCCTCTGGAAATTGTGATCGATGGGAGGAAGAAGTAGGAAAATACCCACAAAGGACAATATCTCAGTGAGTTGGTGTTGACTCACGTGCTTTCATGATTTCTTGTATCTTGTAAAGTTGTACTGAATTAGAAGGCTACAAGTCTTACAACAGGTGTAATGGAGCCTGCTATCCCAGCACTTAAGATGCTGAGGCAGAAGGGTTCTTTCCACTGTCCTCTCTCACTAGTGAGATATCCTTTGGCTAGCTCGAGGGGTCATAGAAGAGATAAATAGGATTAAAGACTGAAAGGGAGGTAGGGAAGAGTTTGTCTGAAGTCACAAAGCTATTCATAAAGCATCCTTCTACCAAATGCAAGTTGTTTATCTTGGATGAGAGAAAAGATTCAGCAATGGGAAAGGACCCACATCATGCATGGCCTTGGGTGCCATGGATACTAATTTTGGGGGCTGAAGCTCTTAGCCTGAAGGCTGTGGTGGCTCCTTCTGGATCTGCTGATTTAAGGAATACCATGTTTCTTCTGAAACAACACATTCACGCAGCATGCCAACATATTTTTTCTAAAGAGAAGAGATCTATGACCTCTTAAGAGGTTAAGAACCAATTAGGTTAAAGTTTAGAAGCTTGTGGAAGACATGATGGCAGGCATGGGCAAAGGACAGGAAGAAGAAGCAGAAAGCATGAAGAAATGTATATGGTTGAGAAAAGGGTTTGTTGCCAAGATTTAACATCCCAGGAAACGGGAAAAACAAGAGCTCCAAATAGATTGTCTGGTTTCCAGATAGAGTGAAGGAGCAATTTTGGTGTCATTAATTGGTTTCTAGGGAATATGGTAGAAAGGCAGAATTCTAATAGAGATCAGCCCCAAGCCTCTTAAAGATGGAAAGGGAAGACTAAGCCTATTTCGTCTGATACTTTGCCAGCCTCTGTCCAGGAGATCTGAAGCCCTTGAGCCTCTCCATCCTTAAGTAGGAGTGAGCCAACATATGGGGCTCTTGGCTTTTACTTTCTGATCCTGGTTAGCACTTGGAATAAGCACAGTTCAGCCTTTGGGCAACCTGGCCTGGGCTCAAAGCCCATCAGGGACTTTGTGGAGACACCTGGGTTTTTTTTGGGGGGTGGAGGGGGGAATAGTATTTAATGGGCCAGAACACAGCTGCTTCCTCTGAAAGGTATGCTTAAGATGGTCTCTCTTAACAACTATTTGCTTTTACAAATTAAGTGCTCCCTGCTTTAAAATAGCTTTAGTCCCTATAAAGACAGTCTATGTATTTTGAAAAGATGATTTTAGTGAATTTAAATAGAAGTAGTATTAGAAAAAAATAAGAGAAGAAAGGAAATAAGTTTCTGCCACAGATTTATGTTAATGTATTTTCAGCTGAAGCAAAAACCAAGCTGAAAACCAAACTTTAGATCAATTGTGTAAGTAGGAAAGGTGTGTTTGCTTTGAAATGTTTTTTTAAATGTGTTGACTATTTGTTCTTATTAAAAGTCCCTAGTGCTCCCTCATCTTTGAAAATTGTTAATCCTACCCTGGACTCTCTCACGTTGGAATGGGACCCACCAAGCCACCCAAATGGCATCCTGACGGAATACATCTTAAAATATCAGCCAAGTAAGTTACAATGATAAGGAAAAGCTGGATTCTGAACAAGCTCCTGTTGTAAAATGCAAACTGGTTATTTCATAATATTTATATGTACACCTTCAAGTAATATTCCAGAAAGAGCTTCAAAGCATACCTGTTATGAAAACCTAATGTATATGTTATTGAAAATTAAGGTCTATTTAGGATAATACAGGTTAAGTGTAGTCCTGAAAGGGGATTGTCCTATCATTAGGTTAGGAGACTATTATGTAGCAACAAAAAATAAAGAGAAAGTCTCCTCGCCACAGAAGAAGTGCCAAGAGAAGTATTTGGAGTTATTAACAATATTGAACTCCATCAGCAAAGACAGAATGAAAACTGCCATTGTAATTCAACTGTAAAATTTCCCTAGTGTGTAAGCCAACAGGGAAAAAAATTCCACTTTTTAAATATTATACTATAGGTTAGATTTTACTATTTAAATGGTAATTGGTAAATTAACCTATGTATGAGAAAGCTTGTAAAAGTCTTGTATACTGGGAAGGACACTTTTGGTTGAAGCAATGATCTACAGTAGTATTCATCTTAATGGCAATTCACTAATGGGGACTGTGTTCTTTTGTCACTTCTCATTGACAGTTAACAGCACACACGAACTAGGTCCTCTGGTAGATTTAAAAATTCCTGCCAACAAGACACGCTGGACTTTAAAAAATTTAAATTTCAGCACTCGGTACAAGTTCTATTTCTATGCACAAACATCAGTGGGATCAGGCAGTCAGATCACAGAGGAAGCGATTACAACCGTGGACGAAGGTAAGAAGGGTATGTATAAAATCCATATAATTACAAATATCTGGAAATTTAGAAAAGCTATGAAAATTTATTCCTTCTCTCATGGAATATCCATCTTACCTAATAACATCCTTATTTGTAATTTCTCATCCCAATGTATGAAAAATCAGTTATTTTATCCAGCTGTTTGGGTATTTGTTTTTCAAGCCTATATGAAACCTCTAAACTTACATTAAAATATTGGAGTAGAGGGCTAGAAACATGGCGCAGTGCTTAAGAGCACTCACTGCTCTCGCAAAAGCTTCAAGTTCAGTTCTTAGTACCCGTATGGTGGCTCATAACTGCTTATAACACCAGCTCCAGAGATCTGATGCACTCTTCTGGCTTCCACAGGATCCGTATGAGGTACATAAACTTATGCAAAGAGATACACATAGAAATAAATATATCTTTTAAACATATTGGAGTGGGAATAAGAAATAAAAATATTCCTCACACAAGTTCAAAGTTTGATGTAACCTTTTTGCCTATACACACATACACATAAGTGTCTCTATGTAATTCTAGTTCTAGTCCTGAGTCACTAGAAAGAATTTGCTTGTCTATATATTGATTTTGACTTTCTGAAAGGAAATAACAAATAATTATTAAAGACTGCACTTATTTTATGCTTAGACATAAACATTGTATTTTGGTATGTCATCTGTAGAGAAAGCAAAAGTGTCCCATTAAACTGAATATTTTCAATAGTTATTCAGAATTTTTTGATTCCATGAAAAGGATCAAGAATAGTATAAAATGATAGCTCAGTGGTTCAGAATGTGTTTTGTCTTATAGAAGACCCAGACTCAGTTCCCACCACCCACACGATGACTCTCAACAGTCAATACATCCAGTTCTAGGATATCTGATGCTCTTTTTCTGACTTCAGTAGGACCCAGGCATTCATGCAGTATACATACATACATACATACATACATACATACATACATACACACATACATACAGGCAAAACATTCACACATACAAAATAAATAAACCCTAAAAGTATTTTAAGGGTTGTCAAAGTTTCTGGCTTTGCATGTCTCTAAACTGTAAAATTGCCTAAGGACTATTCATTGGGTAATTGGTTATCTTCAGTAGCTTCTATAGCATATGAAATTTCTATCAAAAAAATGGGTCAAAACATCTTATGCCTTCTTAGAATAATGCACTTTAAGTAATGTTTTTATTTTTGGTAAGTTTTGGAATAGCAATATATTGTCCCTGAAATAGACTTTACTCTTCCTGCATGCCTTAGCATTTTAATAAGTGCTTTTAAAATAAGTGTACATGCTCATGGGTGTGTTCCATCTAACTATACAGTGTCCTGTTTCTGTTTCCCTTCATTAAGCTGGTATTCTTCCACCTGATGTAGGTGCAGGCAAAGGTAAAATAATTCATCTGCATGACTTTATACTGTGTGAACTTGCAATGTTAAATGTGGGGAAGTGCAGCATGGGTAAACCGAGGAACTAAAATATGCCCGGAACCACCAAAAGGAGAAGATCTGACCCAATCATGGCTTTAAAATAAATTTTTACATAGTTTTATAAGTAGAAAGTCACACTCGAATTCTCCAATTTTTTTTCTCAAGACTTATGCCTGGAGCAAATCCAAATTGTAGATTGTAAGAATATGATTTTGGTTAGATCAGATGTGACCAAAACTGTGGATTTGTCACAGACCTTCCATATGTCCATACCATGTATGAGGAATTCAAAACCTAGATGAAAGCTGCCTACCAGGAATAGATCAGCTGAGCTTCCTATAGCCACTCGACCTAGCCACAGTCCTGGGTGACACAGTATTCATATACTCAATAGCATTACAACACACTATCCTTCTGACCTTTGGTTCAGTGATTCCAAACAACTTATCTGAGTCTTTACAAGTGAGCGCATATTCTGTTCAGCTGACTCACTCTGCTTACCTTTACCACCACTGCTCAAGTCTCGCCTTCCTGAGCTGGAGGCAATGGTCCTCAGCGGATCCATCTGTTCATTAGTTTTGAATAAAGTTTAGTTTAGTTCTCTGTGTCCTACCTATATGCTTGCTGGAAGAAGGGTATTTGGTAACTTGTAACTATTTCTTCCACCTGTGGCAATACCAAAGCGTCTCCCTTCCTATCTCTGAGCTGTGGCTATTGATCCACCAGAGTCTGCTTTTAGAGAGCTGGTATGCTTTTAGAGAGCTTTTTAGAGCCTGCCTCTAAAATAGTGAAGTGGCCAGAGTCAGGGCTTGTCCAGGGCTGTGAAAGACCAAGTGAATATGACCAGAAGTGAGAGAAAAAAACAAGAGAGCTGGGAGTCTTGTCTTGAGTGTGTCCACTATTGTGAGCTTAGACTTGGTATATATTTCCAATTTTCTTAGAAATTCTGCTTATATCCAGGAACTTGATGAATTACAAAAGCATATAATGTCAATTTTAGAAAGTGAACCAAAATTGTAGTCATTTTCAGTCATCCTAAATTATATTTATGGTTTTAGATTTAAGAGAACAAAGTTGTACCCATTCAAAGCATCTACTCTGTGTAGACTCACTCGGTTGTATATACATATCTCTTTTCTGGTATAATTATCACTAAAGTGATGGATGGAACAAGTTATGCTATGTAAGTTTAACTCAGGAATTCTACTGAAAGCCTGGTTGCCTCTCCCATGTGGCTAGCATGTCCCTGCAGCTATGGCCAGTGACAGCCAAGAACCTGTGCTTCCTTGGGACTACCGGTGAAGCAAGTCTGGGCTCCCCATCATATTACAGGAAAATAAATTCTGCTGTAAATAAACTCAAACTAAAATAAATCTTTATTAATAGATTTTTATTTTTGTTTCTCATTTGATGTTTCTCATTTGATGTTACTAAATTCAACGGTGGGCAACTAATGAATATAAAAAATAAAGATATTATGTCTAAAATTAGAATAAGTACTCATCCTAATGGGTTTCAGATAATAAAGGAAATAATATTTAAATAAAAAAATGGTGAATCTGGCATTATTTTTTACATTTTAATAGTGCAATAATTAAATGCTGTTTACATAAAATAATGCTATTTTACCATGATGATATTTAAATTCAAGTATAGTTCATAATCCTGAATTTTTCTTCCAAGATATTTCTTTTTTTTTCTTCAATCTAACAGTGATGAATTAAAGTGGCCAGCTGATCACGTCTCACGTGGCACTGTATATTGAATGCAGTGGCTTACACATCCATAATGTGTCCTTACCATTTTCTTCAGTAAAACTGAGTTGAGCATAGATCTTTAGGATCTTCCGGAGTTTATTTTGATCCATTCCCTTGTCTGATTCAAACCATCAATATTTATATAAGAATTACCTTGCTTGGCAGTTCTTATTCCATTTCTATGGCTCTTTATGTGATCTTGGTTCTGGGGCTCTGGGAGCTAGACCCATGAAGGTTTCACTATGAAACGAACACAGGCCTAAGCAAAAGTAGATGTAGGTTTTGCCCCCACCCACACACACACACTGCTGGCAAATCTCCACCCCTGTATCGTAAAACTTTGACACTGATGCTCTTGACACTAGCCACCAGAACAGATTTGTATCCTACTTAGTTGATACACGAATGTAGAGAAATTAGTAAGAGACAAGTCTGTACACTGCTTAATTTGCAGTAGCCATGGTCACCTCAGGACTGAGCAGAGAACCCTCAATAGGCAACAGCCAGTGCTGGGTCCTCCCTGAGATCTGACTCTCATTAGATGATTTTACCAGATCCAATAAGTTAAAGACTCAAGATTAAAGTTCATGCCTTTATTTGGCCTAAAAAGCAACAATCACCCAAACCGCACAAATGTATTGGCACACTCGGCAGATAATGGTGTCTCCTTGGCACAGAGAGCTCAACAACTTTTTACATGGCACTGCACATCACAAAAGTAAAATAAGACTTTGCCTTTCACATGGCTAAACTGTGGCGGGAAGATGCCAAGCCAGGGGTGAGAACAAAATACTACATGAGCACCAAGGAGGAGGACATTTATTTGTTTTAGCAGGGTCAGGAAAGGCCTCACAAAGAACTGGTTCTTGAAGGCCAGTTTTCTCCAGCAGGTGAGTCAAGGTTGGATTCTTGATCAGAAGCACAAGCAAAGGCCAGGATTGAAAAGCACACAAGGTATCATGTCATAGCTTGCAATGTACTATGTATGTGGAGAAAAGAAGCCCTTGAGTTGTGTCTAGAGACAGTTGGTGGTCAAAGGTGAATAGTTCTTAGCAGCCACACAAATCTGTAGTCATAGGCGAGTCCTTGAGTTTTGAACAGGAATGTAATATGTAGGTTACTGTTAACATTGGTGGATGTTTACAGAGAGGGGTAGGCAGGGAGACCCTTGGGGAAGCCAAGATCAGAGACAGCACTGAAAGCCCCTTGTTGACTAGTTGGGATGCCAGGTGCTCAGTGAGGAAGAATGTGGAACAAGGGGCAGCTAACAAAAAGATTAGAATTCCCAATTGTAAAACCGACCAAACAGTATAACCTGAAGAAACCTCGCTCTTACATGGGTACATGGAAGAGAAAGCTGGTGTCGAGGAACCCTTAAGAAATCAGTTCCTTACTAATTTCCTGTTTTCAGTAAAGACACTTAATACAGCTGGGAATACATTAGCTATTTAGAATACATTTGTCTTGAAATTAGAACTCTGTACTCTTTGACCAACATCTTCCAGTTTGTTTACGTAACTCTAGCTTCCAACAGTGAACTTTCTGCCATGTATTTCTGTTTGACTGCATTAGATTCCATATATAATTAGACTTTTCTTTCTGTGTCTGGTTTACTTCACATAGCATAATGCCCTATGGGTTTGCTATGTTGTGAACAGGGCTGTCTTCTTTTGTAAGGCTGAGCAGCGTTCCTTCACATATCTGCCAGCTGTCACTATCTGCTGACCTGTCAGTGGACGCTTCCTTCATTTCCCTGTCTTGATTCACAAAGACGGACTCAGTGAACACAAGACGACTGGCATATCTTTAGGACATGAATTTAATTTCAGAAAATATGGAAATAAAAATGAAGTGTCAAAAACAATCCAGTGCAACATTAGGAAATAACAGAAAAGAATGTTCTGAGACACTACTGTTTAGATGACTTGTCAGGTAAATGTACTTGCTACCAAGCTGATGACCTGAGTTCAATACCCAGAGCCTGCATGGTAGAAAGAGACAACCAATTTTCATAACTTGTTCTCGAACCTTTACACGTGTACCATATTGTGCACAACACACACACACACATAGACACACACACACACTCACACAGAGAGAGAGAGAGAGAGACAGAGACAGAGACAGAGACAAAGACATGTAAATAAATTGTTAAAAAATTTAACTTTTAAAAAGTTACATGCTACTTGGCTAAAATTATTTTGCTATGGTTCTGCTTTCTGGAAACTTCTATAGTTATTCCAACACTAAATTCTCTAGTTTTATGATGTCACAGTAAAATTTTAAGACACGTTCTCATGTATTCTAGGCTCCCTTGTATTCTAGCATGGCCTAGAGTGTGCTATGTAACTGAGGAAGATCTTGGACTTCCCACACTCCTTCTTCTACCTCTGAGTTCTGGGCTAGCAGGAGGGTTCCACCGTACCTGGTGTTATACACTGCTGGGGTCAAACCGAGGCTTCATGCATACCAGACAAGCACTTTACCATCTAAGTCCCAAAACTAGATTCTAGAATTTTAAAAAGAAATTTATTGGAATGGTCTAGGTTTCAGCTGGATAGTTCATACCTGTACTCATGTAATATTGCGTGTTGATTATATTCTTGCTCTTGTTTACGTAAGAAGAAAATCTGGGAAAACTAAAATTGTTTCTGTGAAATTCAGTAATCACTCTGCTCTCTGCTGCTCCTTTTACACCCCACAAAACAGCACAAAAAAGACATGGTATTCAGTTATATTTCACAGGTCAAATGTATTTTTAACTCCCTTAATATGCCTTTAAAATTTAATTGATCTTTATTAATTAAGTTTCTTTGTGTACAATATCATACATCTGTGCAATATCCACCTGTTTACTGTCCCTCACCAACCCCACTTCTCCCCACAAATTTCTTGATATACTTCATTTTGATCCTAAGAGAGGTTACTTCATTACATGGCGTTCAATTCTAAATTATATAGCTCTAAATTATATTCTATATTATATATATATATATAATTCTATAAGTTCTTTTTTTTTGTTTTTTGTTTTTGTTTTTCGAGACAGGGTTTCTCTGTATAGCCCGGGCTGTCCTGGAACTCACTCTGTAGACCAGGCTGGCCTCGAACTCAGAAATCCGCCTGCCTCTGCCTCCCGAGTGCTGGGATTAAAGGCGTGCGCCACCACCGCCCGGCTATAATTCTAAATTAAATAACATTTTAGAATTAATTTCAGAGACTGAGGAAACTCCTCAGTGCTTTCAGATCTCATATTCCATACAATTCTTATGGGGTGGCAAAAGGATCTTACCATGTTAGCTTACCTAGTTCTCATGTTTAGTTGATGCTATAGGGGAAAGCATGAAAGAAATAGCCCCATGGCACTCAAATAATGCTTCTAATTACTTTAGATGTATTCATCAGTTGTATGTATATGTATATGGAAAGCATCATGTAGACTCCATAACTTGTATTTTCAAAAGTTGGTTAGGTTGTCATATACTCTTCAGGAAATGCTGTGTAACCAGCGCCAGGCAAGATTGCCATTCTCTGGGATTTAGCGGGTCGGCTAGTTCCTGTTCTTTTTATTTTCTTCTTGACTTTTGGTAGAGCATATCCAACCACAGCATTTGGACTTGTTCCTCCAGGATACCCTATCAATATCCTCTAATGCGTGAGTTTCTCATCTCTTCAGATTAGTCTGTGACTAAAAACAGGTAGAAAGTATTCTTTCTCCTCCCAGTATTCTTTCTCTGACTACCTGCAATGAGAATCTAAATGAAATGAAAAAGTACCCAAAGTACCTGGAAGTCTCTGATACACTCTAATAGCTTCTGTTCTCAGGAGAGTTCATCAATCCCCATTGTCCATCAGTAAACGAAGATGGCAATGTTCACTAGGACTGGATCTAATGGGAAGCAGTTTACGTTACACAGAACCCATGTACTAGAACTTGTAACTTTAAAACCGTATACCACTACTTCTGATTATTATATTTTATTAACTGGGGGAATTTTTCTAAATAAAAGTGAAGATAACATGGATTCTAAATTTTTTTCACAATAAATTCTAACATCTTATTTACATAATTTCAAATAATTTTATTTTTTCCATCAGTGTGTATGGTGCTGCTATATGATTGTTTGTTTGTTTTGTTCTGTTTTGTTTCTCTGTTGTGTATTTAGTCCGTGCAGTAAATCCCAGGATCAGCAACGTCACTGCCGCAGCTGCTGAGACGTATGCCAATATCAGTTGGGAGTATGAGGGACCAGAGCATGTGAAGTTTTATGTTGAATATGGTGTAGCAGGCAGTAAGACACGATTTATTACCCTGCTTTCAATTTGGGGGACACATTTTAAGAGACTAAGAATAATGTTCAGGATTTACTATGAACCGTGTTGAAAAGTAATTTGATCCTACCAAGAGAATCTGACTCATTTCAATAAAATCATAGTGAACCACCTTTAAGTAGAAATAAGGCAACTTTTAATTTCCAGTTTGGAACTTCTAGTAGTAGAAATCAAACTGACATTAAAAGAATTCATTTTACCCAAATTAACCCAGCCAAATCTTACAAGCAAGTGAAGAAAATTAAAAGTGCTGGAGCATCGATTTTGCCTTGATGTTTCATGTATTCCCACGTCAGCTCTGCTCACATCTCAGCCCTGTCTCCTGGAAGCTTCAGGCAGCTTGAGTTTTCAGTGACTCATGAAAACCCCTCCATTCCTCACTGCAATGCACGCTACATATCACAGGCTGAATGACCAGTGAACGTTGACACAAGTGTCAAGCACTGTCTAACTCTATATTGAACCCTTTACGAATCAAATGCGTATTATTGCAAACAATTATCCTTTTAGGAAAGCTAACATTTGAAAAATATTAAATTTATAAGTTGGATATACTTGAAGGCATTTAAATTTATCAAAAGATTCATCTTAGGAATCTTTATAAACAATTCTTCTGGTAGTTCATTGAAGCTGTTTAATGTATAATAGTACGTAGTGTAAACATCATGGAAGACACTCAGCCATTTCATGGGTCAAGGAGCACATAAAGTTGTATTTGTATTAAAAAGGATAGTGTCCAGAGTGGGATATATGCATTAGTGTGCATGCTAACTGTCCAGTAGGTTTCTTTTTGTGGATATTCTCACTTAGCTCCTCATTTTAACTGACTTATTTGTCATACTTAGATCTGTAACAATCTGAAATGCTACATCAGATCACCCTAAACTTTTTAGTTTTACTTAAAAATCGTTTCCTTTATTGAAGTATTAAATAAATCCTGGTCCCTTGAAATACTCAAGAAAATTTTTTGTGTGTTTATTTGTTTTTATTTTGCAAAATTTCCATAGGCAAAGAAGAATGGAGGAAAGAAATTGTAAATGGTTCTCGGAGCTTCTTTGGGTTAAAGGGTCTAATGCCAGGAACAGCATACAAAGTTCGAGTTGGTGCTGAGGGGGACTCTGGTTTTGTGAGTTCAGAGGATGTGTTTGAGACAGGACCAGGTGAGGCACACACTACATCAGTTCTGGTTTGTGCTCAGAAGTAGAAACCACCAGACACTCAGTTATAGACTGGGGCGGGCGGAGCTTGCAGGGCTATGGATGTCTAACTGTGGGGCCCTGTTGGGTTGGACGTTTGCATTTTAATTATGTTTGGCTGATTTTATTATATGAGTTACAAAACTGGACAAACTCTCTTTGAACTACATTATTGTCCCAAACCACTTTTAAAAACCTAAGTATAATTTTAAGTTACTTTAGATAATTCAATTTTTGATCATTTCCACATTTAAAATTTCTCTGAATCAAATTGAAGTTAATGTCTGAAATTCTTTTTAGGCTAGAATTACATTTAAGAGAATCAGAATTGTTTATATCAAAATCAGCTACAACCCAACAGAACCCTGCAATTTGGTTGGATGATTGATACAGTATTATTAAGGTTATTCAAAATTCTATAAGCCCTATATTGTACATCATTTCAAAAAAATTGCCTGAGTATTTTGTTTTAGTTTTGAAAATGTTATTCAGAGTTTATTAGTGTAAAAGTAAAGTTTTGTAGGAAAGACAAATGTTCATATAGAATGCAAATTAAAATGCAAATAATAATAATTAATAATTAATATTTGTTCCCAAGGGAATAATCTCTGCTTGCTTAGACTGAAAGTGGGGCCTTTTGGTGAGTGTGCATTCTAGGGCTCATACATTCATCTTCTGCTCAGTCATATTCTACATTCTTGAGGAAGTATTACATTCCCCTGTAGAAACTAAGGCCAAGATGAAGTGTGTAGTTTCATTAACAAAACATGATTTTTAAAACCATTTCTTATCATGGGCTAGTTTTAAAAAGAGAGAGAAACCAAAGTTAATGATGAATAATTTATTGAATAAGGCCATCTAAATATATACTTGCTAAAATCAATATGTTTTTAGAAAAAATCTGTTCCTTCTATTTCATATCCATTTACATATATAATCCAGAAGAGGTATTAAATATAAAAGGGGTGTTTCAAATAACTCAGCTCTGTAAGACACTTGCTTGTTACTGATAATTGTTAATTTCAAAATAGTAAAAGCTCATGTAGATATACAATTAGAACGAGAATAATAATACAGCATTTAGTCTACTCTACAACAGGCAAGTGGTTTTCTCATTTCATACTTATAACATCCCTCTAAAGTGGGCACTGTTACTGTCTACTTCTGTCACATGTCAAGTCTTCAGAGTTGAAGAATTTGCCCCAGCATAACTGCTGGGACTAGGGGTCTGGCCTTTCTTTACCAAAGAGAGGCCCTTATCACAAAATCACAGAGATCCCAAGGGGAACAAGCTGTCTTGGAAGTGATGGATGTGATTAGCATTTATACTTTTATTGTGCATTTCTGGGCTTCTAAAGACTCCATGTTTCTTTAAATTGCAGATGGATTAGATTAGATTCACTCACAAAATTAGATTGCAGCATGTTTGTCCTTTTCAAAGATCAAAGATGTTTCTTTTAAACAAAAGCAAAAGGAAAACCATCTTTTCCTCAGGGAAGATGCTTACCATGCCAGTGGCAAGTGTTAGTCTTATTCAAGAGGAGTGGCTGGAAAGAGTGGGACACTACTGTGTGCTAGTGATGGAGAGAGGATTTTGCAAGACTCACATATTGTCACCTTTTACATACCCATATGGCAACTAAGAAGATCAAGTGTTGATTAAGTTCTAGTAATTGCCCAAATAACAAAGCCCCTCCTCCCAGGGGCCAGTGCTCTGTCCCTAGAATGCTTTGACTGTAGGATGCACTCGATGTCAATCCTTAATCTGCTGCTCTGGCTCCCTCTCAGAACAAGGTTTTGAGGTCTAGGACATCAATACTCAATGGGAGGCTAATTTTTAACTCTGTGTCCTCTCTCTATGCTTTGTTAATTTTAGGAACCTCGGTCTGCTCTTGGGTCCAAAGCTTTTCTGTTGACTTTCTAGGCTTTCTTCAAGTTCACTCTTTCCATTTCTAACTATAGCTAACTGTTTTAACTGGACAGGAAATTTTCATGCTTTGTGAGTGCTTCAAAAATAGTAATCACATGTGTCACTCTGTGATTTGGAGTACCAGAGAACACTGTTCTTGGAGATCCCCCACCATCCAGCACAGGTTATCTATGTCACAGCAAGCAAAATTCCAGATGAGAAGAAAATCCACTTTCACTTTACAACTAACGACTTATATATGTTAGCTACTTTCCTCTTTCTGTGACCTCACATGATATAACTTAAGAGAGTGAGGATTTATTTTGGCTAGTGGTTTGTGAGTCCCATTCCTCATTATGGGGGCAGGTTGGTGGTGGAAGTGGCAAGTGACTATTGCAGGAAGCAGGTATGCAGGATTGGGGGGACTAGGCAATAAAACTCCAGGACCCATCTCTATTGAACATGCTCCTTCACCAAACTTTCAGCTCTTAAAAATATAGCAACCTCTCAAAAGAGCAACACCAGATGGGTATTAAGTGTTCAAATACACAAGCTTATGGGGTCCACATTACAGTCAAACTCTCCAAAGCTCAGATCCAAGAAGGAAAAAGCCCATAAGTTTCATTCATGTCTGTCTGTCTGTCTCTATGTATGTATGCATGTATGTATGTATGTATGTATGTATGCATGTATGTATGTATGTGTGTGTATGTGTATACCAGCTCACTTGTAATTAGCTAGTCTTAAATAGTAGACTGGAGAAATACTGAAGACTTTTTTCTTTGATATAAAAGCAAAATCTCAATGTTAGCATGAACATCTTTGGTCAGCTATTCAGGGAGCAGCCAGTTTTTCAGCTACCTAATTGTAATTGCTGGGAAGCAATTCAGTTCTGAAAGTCTTGACTTACAGAAGACAGTGTCAGCACCAACACTTGAGCATCTTAAATTTTAGCTGATCAGTCTCATTTGATTGGATGAAAAATATAAATGCTAAAGCTACTTATAACCATGCTATAATTCATTAAGCAAACCAAAACGAAGGATTCGCACCATGAAAATATTTTTTTGCCACGTTTTTGGAGACTTAGTTATGAAAAAAAAAGCATGCATAGATTATATACAACTTGGCAAGACTCTGTTGCTAAGAAGAATGAAATAAAATTTTCAAACCCTTTACCCATCCTGGAAAGTCCCCAAGGAAGTTTATCATATGCTCAGACATTTGTGGATTGGTTTCTGGATATGTTTTCAGTAATACATTATATAAAGGCAGTTAAATAGATTAGTTCACTAACCAAAGCCAGAGAGGAAAAACAGACAGACAGACAGACAGACAGACAGACAGACAGAGGTCCCTTCCAACCCTTGGCGAAGCTCTTGTTCTCATCATCTCTGACATTGGAATTACTATAATGCCTACCTCAGAAAACTGTTGTGAGGGTTAACTGTCTTTGGTACACTTCCTAGCATAGAGGAGTATGTTGTTAGCTGCCATCATCATCATCATCATCACCATCATCATCACCATTACTATCATCAGTATCATCGTCAGCACCAGCACCAGCACTATGGAATGTGTACGAAAGCTAGAGCAGTTTGGCCACATGTTTTCCATATGTCTGATTACAGTACAGTGCCAAAGCCCTCTAACTAATACACATTCTCCATGTGGCTGGTTACAATACAGCTCCAAAGCTATCTAACTAATGAGTCACAGGGGACTGTTTGGAAAAGGTTAATGACCTCCACTTTATGTTCCAAAAATAAATATTTGTACTTTCAATTTTATTTTTTAAATGTATCTCCAGGCATTGTTTACATTTGACTTCACACTTGATGTTTAACCATTTCATCCTCTCCCTGGATTTTCTGTGGCGAAAAGGACACAATAAAATGTTATTTCCCTGCATATAGGAAATCTGGGATACACATAGCCATGCTTATTTTTGAATTCAGAGATCACGCACATCTAACCCTATGATGTAATGCTTTCAGAAAAAAAACTAGATTAAAAGCACAATATAGGCATATATATGAAAGCAAGAAGAAGAAAACGTTTTATGTTGCTTATGATTAAAAAAGAAAGGGAAAGCCCTATAATAAAGGATTCCTGCAAACTTACTTAAACAAGCCCTTGTGGGCATGTCTAAATAGTCACTGATGCTGCACTTTGTCCAGTGTGATTGATACTTTTTCACCTAAACTTTCCTTTGAGCTTTGTATATGATGAGTAGCTGAATAAAGAGTTTCACTTCATTTACTCAACAGACTAGATGGAGTCATAAAGAACTGTATTAATGTAAATGAGTATTTTCTCTTCAAACTGCTCCTTTTTTCCAAATAATAATTCTATTGATCAAACTATATTTTACAGTCCTTTGAATAATAGAGGCCAAACAATAACAAATGCTGGTTCTTTGGCAATAGACTTCATGTTTTCAGGATTTCCATTCAAGATCCAGATGTTGTATAACATAACAATGCTGGTATTCATCAGTGGCTAGGTTTCTTTCATAGGTCATTTAAAAAAAAAAACCAGATTTCCAAAACACTGAAGAAATATAGTTTCTTCTGAAGGGAAAATACTCCATTAGATGTATACATTCTGATGTTTTTAAAATTCAGTTTCATATTCTTATCATATTTGAATTCATTTTATTTCCAAAATAACAGAATTTCCTTGGTTTGGGAATGCATTTCTATTCTGAATGTGTACTTGAAGTAAATGTGATCTCAGTGTTTATCAGGGTGTGGTAGCTAGCACTTAATCTTATAACATCAAGATTTCTCTGAAGTTTTTACACAGTGAAGGTTTTTCATAGTTGAGTATGTAATTTCTCACTGATGATTGGCAGATCCAATTTGCAATCCTGTAAAAAGTACTTAAAGGTTCATATACTGTGGCAATTGTCTTTTAACGAAGAGACCAACACAGGTCTCATTTTGACGCTAACCTATTCCCACGGAATCTACTGATTTGTCTTGTAGCAATGGCAAGCCGGCAAGTGGATATTGCGACGCAAGGCTGGTTCATAGGTCTGATGTGCGCCGTTGCCCTCCTCATCTTAATTTTGCTGATCGTTTGCTTCATCAGACGAAACAAGGGTGGTAAATATCCAGGTAAGAGGGACTCCCGTGCTTTCTAGTACTGCAGAATTAGCTGCTAAGCGTAAAAAGAATAATGGATGTATAAGTATGAACAGGATCTTCTTAGAGGCATCCTTTTAAATTTCCAGATCAAACCATTTTGACTCCTCTTTATATCATATGGACTGTCATGGATTATAGGGTATGTGGAGAAATATGTCACTCGGTTCTTTAAGAAAAGCTGCTTCCTTAGACTACGAAAAAGTTGTGAGCACTGAAATAGCACCGAAAACCAGTTTATAGGAGGAGAAGCAGAGGGCAGCATGTACAATTTTCTGGAGGGAATACAAGAATCTGTGTGTCATTACATTACGGCCCCTGTATGGTTGATGAATTTGTATCCCTGTATAATGGATGAATTTGTATCTTCTTTACCTGACAATTTATCCTTTGATTAAAAACATCAAAGAATCTTTTTAAAGACACTGCAAAAGAAAACATTTACAAAAATGATTTGCTATCATCAGTACACTAATACATAGATTGAAAAGCAAAAAAAAAATGTAATTGAGGAACTTAAAAATCATACACTGATCAAGGAAGATAAAGAAGTAGCTCAATGTATTGAAAAATATTGGTCTAATAAATATCAAAGCATATTCATAACCACATTAGATACATGCTTGCCCAGTATCTACTTGTGTAAAGATTATCTATGCTCTGCCGTGTCTCAGCCCATCCCTGCAAACTTTCAACAAGGAAGTTCAGGGTCAATGGATAATAATGTCACTTCAAACTTTTCAGTTAAAGAAAAGGAGGATGCTCATGCAGACCCTGAAATCCAACCCATGAAGGAAGATGATGGAACATTTGGAGAATACAGGTGAGCCCTTGTTCCTTCCAGCCATGCCTTTCCTGCTCCACTGAACACTACCCTCAGACACTCAATAGATTCCAAGGACAGACTGAGTGAGCAGTGGGCCCTGCCTGGCAGTTATTACTTTAGAAACACACCCAACTCAAAATATATCCATCTTTCTTGATTAAAACATTCTCAGTAAAAATATTCCATTCAAAAATAAGAAACCTCATCAAAAAAAAAAATCCATTGTAGTCCTAGGTTTTGAGTCAGAATATCTTCCATTCTGTTATCTTTTCCAGAGGCACAAGGTGTGATGTTCAACCTAGCCATTTCATTGTGTTGTAGTGAGGAATACAAGGGCCCTGCAGAGCCTACAGAGTGAGCAAAATGTATGTTTAGAAAACCAGGCTTAGAAAGACTGCTCTCTCTGTTTTGGTTTTATTTTTGCGATTGAATCTCATTATGTAGTTCAAGCTGGCCTAAGACTCATTACATAAGCTAGGCTGACTCCAAATTCATAATCTCCCACCTCACAGTCATGAGCCACCATGACTATTGGGGGTGTGTGTGTGTGCTGGGGACCAAACTCAGAACTTTGTAAAACCTAGGCATGCATGCTACTACTGAACTACATGCTCAACCCAGAGAATTTTTTTATCTCAGATTTATAAAATGCTATTTCAATACCTGTTCCCCTGACTTTTAGTGAAAAATTAAGAATACGTTGTTTTAGAAGCTATTAATTATTAAGAACTTTCACAGTCACTTGTGTAGCATATTAACTCATAGAATGCCAATAATGCATTATTCATTTAACTTCATTTTAAGAAAAACATTTAGCATAATCTATATACTTTTAAAAAGTTACTTTAAATGAAACTATTATATCCTGAATGCTATAGATCTTCCAAAGAGAGGAACTAGTACTTTAGACATCATTAAAAAACCTGTAAGTTTAGTCATGTATTTAGTGCCCTGTGATAACTCTATAAAATTTCTTTTATAACTTAGTAATCTTGGAAATATGCATGAAACTCATGTTGGTCATTTATTTATTTATTTATTTATTTATTTATAGAAGAAAATACTTTTGGGTGGAATAAAAGACTCACTACTGTGGTGTCCAGGTCCCTTTGTAGCTAGAGTAGCTAGATATTTACACCAGTTACTACCTGCCTCTAGATCATTTTTGGTATTTCCATGTCAGTTTCATGAGGGGACAACCAATGCCAATATAGAAAAGATAAAAAGGATTTAGAAAAACCATATATTTCAGCACAAGTCTTCATAGCTGCATCCATGCAGATGCGAGCGGGTCTGGCTTCCAGTGTCTCCACACCTAAGCTCATCCCCTCTTCAAGAGAAAAAGATGTGGTTTTAGAAAGCTCTCATGACACCACAACGATGTCTTGTGAGGGTTATCTTGATGTCAGACATTGGTTCTGGACCTGGAAGTATTTGACTACCTTAGGCAGCACCACCCACTGTGAGCAGTTTCCCACAGCACATGAAGGCAGCCCTGAGCAGCTGCATCTCATCCTGAAGGACTAGAAACATTTGCTGGTATAACTCACTTTTCTACCTGTTTCTCCCGTACACAGGTGAGCTGATACTAATTAAAGGACATCCTTGTAAAGTTCTTGTGACAATGACCTCATACAGGATTATGCACCACTCCCTTGTTTATTGATATGAAGTCACATCTTCGATATAGCCTGGAAAATATAGAGTTGCATGAGTTAGAAATAAACCATTGCATTTCATACATTCTCCACATTGTGATGGGTTCATCTTCTTATCATGCTTAAACATATATGGCAATGTACTGCTCTCCTCCAGGCCCTCAAAATGTCAGTTTGCTATTATATCATTGTGGAGCTGAGACCCAGGATAATGTGACTTGGGTTAACTATTCTAAAAGCACTAAACCTTGATTCAATTTAAGGTTGGGTTATATGAATTCGCTTGGAATCAAGAGGCTATTCATCTGTTTTTTTTCCAACTCAGCCGTTAGCTCTGATTCCTTTATGGTGCTTAATTTATATAGGTCTCAATTTTCATCAAGACAGTTTTTCAAGCATCAGAACATCTTTGGAGGTTTTTTTCCTAGTTCTGTGCTCACTGAGTGACCCAACAACTAGCAGTATGATTCTATTTTCAGAGCAGTACATAGCAAGTGCCTGGCTCTTCTCTTCATACCCACTATTTGCTTTCCGTCTGCTGGCTCACATGTCTTCGCCTCGGCGTTAATTCATGCGTTTGCTGTGCCTGTGAAGCGTTTTCAGATGGCTGTCTTTGGCTTTTGCCAAAGTTTCTCAGGATAGAGAGACTTTTCATTTGGGCCTATTGAATATAAGCCCAATTGGCACAAAGACAAAAATACTTGTCACACATGTAATGACATTGATCCTGGAGGGGCCAAAGGAAATAAGGTTCTGATGGGTGTCTTCAACTAGCAGCACATCTCAGTGGTGTGATTTCAGTGAAATTTAAAGTTGGTGAGGGTGATCCTTCCTGTGAGATCACATCTCCTAAATTCTTGGACATTATTATTGTTGATGTGACCTTGTTTTTACGCTTGCAGACACTTCCTCAGGATTATTCGCTTTGGTTCTTTCCCTTTAGGACTTTTCAATATGAGAGTCATAATGATATGAAAACGGTTCCAACTATTTACAGAGATTTTTGTTGTTGTTATTTTAATGGTACATCTGAGTGTTATTCTGTAAATCACCGGGGTCCTTTCTCTACTTTGCACCTTCTAGAAGCTTTGGGCTCTATATTACTTAATGATTCTTAGTCTCCTGCATTCTGAAAATGAACTATAATTCTGATCTCACACCGACACACAATTAGGACTATTGTGGAAATGTAAATTCATTCCATTTGTGATTTGCACATTTGCCAGCCTGAGATGGAACAATTCTACCTTGTTGGCTCCAAGCCAGACACAATGACATAGTGCAAAGAGGGATGGAACTTCCAGAATGGCCAAATTTGATTTTTTTTCATATGCTATATCCCTAAACCCTCACTCTAACACCCACCCCTAAGCAGCTACCCTCTCTCAGAAGCCTGCAGCTTTCTTTGTTTGTCTCTTTAATTATACAGACAGTAGGATCTGCCTCCTTACTAGCATATAGAAAAATCAAAGAAACAGTGCAGCCAACTATGTAAGTATTTCCTTATTCTTTAGATGCATTCTCTGTAAAACAAGAGTGAGCCTAGGTTGTGAACCATATGACTGTGCTATGTGAGCTTTGATTTACTGCTGCTCACAGGGAGGAGTTTGCAATGGGAATCTTGTCATTCATGTGGCCACAGCCCTGTTGCCAGCTTGCTATCCCTCGTTCAAAGCTTGACTGATACAAAGTTGTGTTGCATTTGTTACATGCTTCAGGTTTATTGTACCCTCAGATATGAACTGGTTGTAATCAGTGTAAATAATGGTGACTGTTTATAGTGTGCCAGCAAAAGGTCTGGGTGCATGGATGTCAATAATACTGTTGTGTGGTTTGATCCTGGTAGAATGGTTGCAGCAGGAAAAATCAGATGTTATTATTAAATTTATTTGCTGTTTCTAATTTTTATTTTAGTAACCATTTTATGGTTTTAGACCAAGCACTGCTGAGAAAGAAACGAATGAACTCCTTAAAATGTATTCTCAATACAAAAGACAAAAAGAATACAAGTCAAGGCTTTGTCTATCATTATAAAATTAAGAAAAAAATGAAAAATTGTACTGTTAAAAATTTAAAACATTTCTGAACTATTTTTAGAATTTACCCAACATATGTTTATTGAGTGCCTCCTGTATTCCAGACTTTAGGAATATTACCTACAATAGAATTTAGTCCCCCATTTGGAGTTTATAGTCTAGTGAAGAATACAGAGAAATAGCAGCAATTTGATGAATCTGTGAAAAGTATCATATATTCTTCTCATCACATTGCTTAATATTCCTAGGCAGTTTTCATTACTCGTGTTGAACATGTCAAGTATAGTAGCTCATGTCTATACTCCTAGCACTTGGGAAGCAAAGACAGGGAGATGAGGGATTTAAGGTCACCCTCAGCTACATAGAAAGAGAGTGTTAGGCAAGCCAGGGCTACACAAACTGTCTGCAAAAGCACGGAAGGAGAGGGAGAGGATGAGCAAAAGGAAGAGTGATAAGAGGAAGAAGAGATAACAGTGACCCTTACCATTCTTTCTGATTCTAAACAGAACAGTTCCATCAAAAATTCTGTTCACTGTAGTTTCCATGTAGGCATCCTTAACCCAATTAATGCAAACACGTCCCTGTTCTAGCAAATTAAAGTTTTCCTCATGAATCGTGTTGAATTCTATCATATGCTTCTTTCTGAGTCTATTATCATGATCATAGTTTTTTTTCTTTCTACAAGTGTACAAGTGGTAAATCTTATGAACTGTATTTTCATATTAAATCAAACTTGCATTCTTTGAGTTGACCCAACTTGGGTATACTATATTATGTCTTTAGTTGCTGGCTGCATTTGGCTTGCTATGAGTCCAGTCTCTTTGCTTATGTTCATGAGTTGTATCAGCCTATAGCTTTACCTTCTTGTGGCATTTTTTCTTTATTTTTCATGTAAAAATCTTATAACATTATTACAGAAGTTGTGCTTCTGACATTTACAAACTTTAACATGCCCAAACCAAACCTCAAATCTTCATCAGAACATGATCTTCTGCTCAGTGAAAAGGAGTAATGGCAAGTGTTTTATTTATAGGAGACATCCTAACCCCATAGCCTTCCATGTTGCTCCCTAACCAACCCATCAGGAAGTCCTTTTTGCTCTACTTGCAAAAATATGGCTATAATCTGAGCATTTTGTATAAACTTCTTCAACATTCCATCCCGGTCCAAACCACAGCCATCTCTCTCTCCTGCGTGGCGGAAGTAATCGTCTAAGTTTAGTGTAGAGTATTGTACTTGTAAAGAGCCCCTGGAAAATGTTTTAGACTGTGCAGCCCACAGTCTTAACCAGAACTCTGCAATTCTACTGCTGCAGCAGCAAAGGAGCCATAAGCAATAAATAAATCATAAATAGGTGTGGCTCAAGTTTGCCAGGGTTTACCAATCCCTGCTCTTGAGGGCAGGCTGCATCAACGCTTGTTAGCAGAGCTGTGCTTTTAGGGTAATGTCAGTCAGGCCACAGTATTCACCTGTGGAAATACTGCCAGAGCGTCTATCTCTTAAACAAAGGCTCTTCTGTAGCCATGGATCCCCGGCCTACCATCGCTACTCCAATTACTCTCTTTCTTATTCATTCCTTCCATTCCAGACACAGCAAGCGCCTGGCTGTTTCTAGAACATTTCAAGCTTGCTCCTGTCTTGGAGCGCTTGTACTGCTTGTTGCTTTTTGCCATCATTGCTCTTGTTCCCAGTCATCCTCATGCCTATTTTGCTTTAGATACTTGATCAGATGCTACTTTTAAGCACACCCTTTCTGGATAGCTTATATCAACCCTCCACCCTCTCTTCTAGCTCCTTCTGTCCTCTTTATGCAAGTACTGATCACTTGACATAACTAATTTTCTTTAGCATACTGATTGTAAACTGCATTTTACCCTACTGGATATGAGGTTGACATTTTAGTGTGTGTTGCCTGTTGTTATATCCCCAGCACCTAGATTGACATCAACCTTAGAGCAGGCACTCACTAAACATTAGATGAGGGGAAGACTAAATCGAATACATGACATGATGGATCCATCCTATGATGTAATAGGTGGAACTCAGGTGACAAAATGTATGCTTATAATTGACTTCTTCAGGAGCATATGCAGAGGTATTCAAGCAAAGTATGGAAGTTTACAGCTAGGTTTTAAAGATGTCGTGTAAGCTGCTTTTATAATAAGCTGGGTTTTGTGGGAGTTATGTTCTCTGAAATGTCCCCACCCCAAACAGGCCACCTCAATGATCTGTGATTTCACAAAGTTCTGCTCAGATTGCAGTGTGTACTTGTATGCTATCAGAACAGGTCATTGTGATAGCACATGCAAGTTTTGACATTCTTCTTAGAAAGAAAAATAAGAAACCTCTGGTGGAATGTATAAACGAAGGAGACAGACTTATTTTTCTTTTAATCTTTGTGGCTTGACTAGAAAAAAAAAACCCAATATTGTTAACAGTGATCTTAGTGTCCACTGTTGTTAAATTAACATTGCACTTAGGGTGACCTCTTTGTCACATCAAGTATACCAATGCTTTGTGCTCAGTATTGTATATCATTCCTATCTCACCTGAGGTTGTTTCTGCTAAATATTTTTTTCACTATTTCTCCCCTCCAAAGTTACCTGTTATGGAGTCAGCCACTGGGCCCATGCTTGTAGATGACACTAAATTCAATGACACCCCTGACCATATTAGAGGATATTCTTACAAACTCTTTGATTTCCATAAGTTGTGCTTACGGGTTCAACAGAAAAATAAGCAAAGTAATAATAGACTCCTCTAATGTTCTGCTAAAGTACATGCTGTGGACCCCCTCAGTGTGGGTATAGCACATAGGAGAAGTGAGAAACAGGAAATATTTACTTCTGTGAGTTTGGAAGCACTCACACCCTTTAGGGTTTGCAGGCATGTCATTTACGGTTCAAATATAGTGCTTTGGAGTTGAAGTGTTTCTCTTTCTGAATTAATATTTTTTTACCCATTGACCAAAAATTCTTCAGGAAAAAAAATAATAATAGTGTGACCTCTCAGTGTAAGGACTGTGCTTTTCTTCTTAGGCTGTTCTCATTTGTTTCCTCTGCCTCCTTTTAATGGATTTCTAGGTCTTTTGAAAGGTAAGGCAGAAGTTCACAAATCTGGCCTGCATTCAGTAACAAAATTATTTGAACTGCAAGAATTTGCTCCTCCTACTGCCTCAGGAAAAACAATCCATATATCACATGTAACCAAAAACATGTTCCATTCACATCCAAGGAATCAGAGAAGTTCTACAGTTTAACACACTAACTCCCAACTGTCCTGAGCTCCGTACTGCTCCTTTGAATTGAAACAGCCCCCGCCATGCCCCAATAATGCTTTTCATTGTTCCCAGATTGCCTTCCAATCTAGCATCAGACTCTTTCATCTAAATTAGCATGCGCAATCAGAAAGCCACCTGCTCTCTTGCAGACATGATCCAACCACTTCTGCGCCTGACTTCCATTCCAGCACCACCCTAGTCACTGGAGCCCACCTGGCAGTCAAATTTGCCTGCAGGAGCTCAGGCTTCCATACGCTTTTTCATAATTTGCATGCATGATCTGCAAAAAAACAAGGCACTCTACCTAAATGCCGGGCTGACCAAAATTTTTATTCCCTCCTAGTGATGCAGAAGATCACAAACCTTTGAAAAAAGGAAGTCGAACACCTTCAGACAGGACTGTGAAAAAAGAAGATAGTGATGATAGCCTGGTTGACTATGGAGAGGGGGTGAATGGCCAGTTCAACGAGGATGGCTCCTTTATTGGACAATACAGTGGTAAGAAAGACAAAGAGCCAGCAGAGGGAAATGAGAGCTCAGAGGCCCCTTCTCCTGTCAACGCAATGAACTCCTTTGTTTAAGTCTTTAAGCTCTGTGCCAATATCCCATCTCTCTGGAATGGTTTTCCTAAACACTTGTCATCCCTCTCATATGGACATATGGCTAGAAAGAATGTTTTCTGCTGTATAGGAGTATTATAAGAACAGAGCAAGAACATAACTCGGTCAGATGATACGTTACTATGAACTGGGGTACAAAGTGCATACTTTTTGTTCAGAGTGGGTTTTTCTCAATTTCCTCAGAACTGATTAAAAAGAAATACATCATCAATAGATTACATTATTCCCTGTGCGGGATACAGTTCAATAAGATGCATGAAACATGCTGCACAGAGGACACACTTGTGTATGTGATTGCGACGTGGTTGGGTACTTTGTTGACACTATCCTCAGCTGAACCCTAAATATGAATTCCGTTGTCATTGTGGAGAGTGTTACTGTAGTGTTCTCTAGAGCTTCAATGTCTCTGTGGACATTGTTGTGAAACTCGTGACTATGTCTAGCTGTTGTTAGTCTTTCTGAGAGACTGTTAGGAACAGTATGTACAGTATATACTTGCTACATGAGTTACTTATGACAGTTGCATCCGCTAATGCTCGCCAAGACTCTGTCACCTGTTCTTTGCTCCCGGTACTTCCTAGGCTTCTTAACCTTCTGGGTGTTACAGCAGCAGAGTTTCACTTCCTACACTATCTGTGTTCAGTCCTTTGGGGGCATAAATATCACGTATTGTGACACCTTTTGGCATTTATGCCATACTCAAAGAATTAAAGTCAAAGCTCTCAAGTGAAATTTTAAATTCTAGTCCAGAAAATGCAGGGCAAGACACATGCAGTGCCTTTGGACAATAAGCATTCCGTGACTCCTGTACTCTGTATCAGCCAGTGTGGGCAAATCCATCCTATGCTACTGTTGTTGTTGTTGGAAAGGAACTTTTCAAAGGCAGAGATAATTCGAATTGAAATGCTGAAAACTGTGAATGTAAAAACAAGTTTATTTGAAGAGGCTTCCCTCTACAAATATCAAACTCAAAGCTCTGTCATTGGCTGGAGCACACGATGGTATTGTGGTCTTTTGTGGTTTCTAGTCAAACAAGTCAAGTTGAAAAAGAAAAATGGTATAATTGGAAATGGATAGAAAATCAAGTGATTGCAGAAGTAAAAGCATACAACAGCATGCCAAAAGTACTAAATTATTCACTCTACCTAGACAAGCTTTCAAATTCTTCAACATTCAGCAATGTGTATGCAAATTCCAACAGGTACACTCCAGAGTCTGACAACTTAATTAGGCCAGCAGTCAAAGGGATTACACCAACAGTCTAAAGAACAAATACATATATCCTATCATAGCCATAAACAGTGTATGAAATGGCTTACCTCCAATACAGAAATCTATGACAACCTATGGTTGAAGGAATGCTCAATTTCATTTGCCAATAAATTGGTTTCTCATAACTTGCATCAAGTTTAATTTTAAGTAAAGCCTTTTATATGTAGGTATTCTGTTTAATTTGTAAATATACTTAAAGTGTAGAAGCTATATGCTCGTAGGTGTGATGTGCAAATAAACACACAAGCAATGTTTATGTTCTCCCGTGTGAGAAGTAAGCTCATTGATGAATGCAGTGTGTGGGACCAGAAAACATTCAAATGCCTTTCCTGGTGTTTTGGATTTTAGTTTTGTTTTTGTTTTTTTCACTCTACTTTTGGCTGCGAAACTGAAATAAAGAATTTTATTTTTTTTTTACCCACTTCTTCAGCCTGTTGCTGGCTGAAATCCTCAGTGTTTGCCAATGGAGTACATTAGGATTTGTCACCTGACATCTTTGATGTATACAGGTAAAGCTTGTTTTAAAGTGATCCCCAACATCTCCACAAACCAGCCTATCTATTGAAAATACAAACTAACAGAACGGGCTTGTCTCAACATCAGAAAGCACAAAGACAAAAGTTACTTTCAATTGGTCAATGTCTTCAGAGAAAAATAAACGTGAAATTTCTGCTCTTCCGTAACTGTGGCTGTTAAATTTCTCTGTGCATGAAGAAGTCACGCCTATAGATAAAGACAGATTTTCTATTAAAGATGAAAAATGAAGTGTGGTTTTAAAGCCCTTCCCTCTTTGGTACTTAATCACATTCCTGGAGGGGTGTGGGTATGTGACAGCTGTCACAGAGCAGGACAGGGCTTCTGGACTTCTGAAAAGTCACTGGTAAATAGCCCAGCTCTTGTGCGTGTTGGAGTCTTCAAACCTGTACTTCCAAATGTCGTGAAGAAATTCTGACTTTTTTGTTTCATTTTTAAAAGACTTAGGACTTAAATCACAAAAGTAAAAATAAGAATTAGTAAGATAGCAAAATCAGAAACTTTCAAATGCAAGGTTATGGTTAGTTAGGCAGGAAGAGATAGCACCAGTCTCTTGAAAACAGGTGAACAAATCTGGTTCTCTGTCATGTCTCAAAAAAGCCAGATTGGTGGTGTCCTGTCAGTGATGACCAATCCATGTCACCACCACTGCGGACCTCCTCACTCCTCAGCTGTGGTCATTTGTATTTCTTAACATGGTTGCTAGATGAGAGAGTTTGAGTTACATATGTGTTACAAATATGTCATCCGCTTCCTTCTCTCCACCTTCATTTCTTCTGTCTCCGAGCTGTATAGCTGAGCAAACATCCAAGCCTAGCAACCATTCGCTTTCCACCACCTGCCCCTTAGTCACAGGTCCCTGGTCCCAGCAGTTCATCCAGGAGACCTACCTGCCGTGTGCTTTCAGAGGTATTTAGATAGGATGCTACGACAGTGAGTCGGAGATGTCATATAGAGCTCAGTATTCCTCTCACAGAGGACATGTTGGCTGTTCTCTCGGACTCTCCCTTCTCTGTCCTCACTGTGGGCCAAGTTAACAAACCTTAGCCTCGCTCTACATCATGACACGGCTCCGTGGCAACAGGGGCTTTGAAACTATAAGCATAACCTCAAAAAAAGATTTTGTAGGTATAACCCGGTATAAATCAACTTCTTCACGGGGTTTTAATGGCTTTCGAGATGAGTCGAGTCTAGGAACTCAAAGATTTTCACCCACAGAACGAATCTCTTCCACTTGAGATGTTTTAACTGATGACCACCAGAGGGCGCTTGTGCTTTATTCTGCGCAGAAGAAACATGCTAGAGAAAGTGGGCTGAGGACACTCACTGGCTGAATCGGTTTCGATAATTAAATGATGACCTGATGGTGCAGAAAATGATCGCTTGCTCCAACTAGGGAAATGAGATTGCAGTTCTCCCTAGTGAGTTCACAGCTCCAGAGTGGAAGCTGGAGTGTGTGAGCATTTTGCATAGTTTTTTTTTCCCTCTTGATTGGGCCAAGGTGAGTCAGGGGAAAAGTTGCTCTCAGTCCACTGGCCATGCTTGTGTATGTGTGTTTGTGTGTGTGTGTGTGTGTGTGTGTGTGTGTGTGTGTGTGTGTTTATGACAATAAGGGAAGGGAGTCCTTAAAACTGCTTCACCTCCTTTCTTTAATGATACTCTTTTTCTCTCCTACCAATGGTTTGATGTTTTATTATTGAATAGAACACACACAAAAGTAGTTTAAACACTATGCTCAGCTCTTACAACTCACCTAGGAGATGGGGAGAGGAACGCAGAGAATATCACTGCAGTATTTGTACTGAAGAGTGGCTCAGTGGGATGGAAAGATCAGTCCCAGAGAGAAGTAAGGTAGGGTTCCGATTCCAACCCCACCTTCCATGCCAATGGTGTGGCCCACAGGAACCCATCCTCTTGCTATTCACGCCACATCTGCTCAGTCAGACAATGATGAAGGAGATAGTATCAAATATGCCTTTGTAGTTTAATCCTGTGTGTTTTAGTAACGAAACAAAACAATCTGAGCACTTGCTAAAGCCAAGAACAATCACAAGCAAAACCAGGTGTGGGGTCCTGCTCCCATAGGGCCTGGAGCCTAGTGTTTGAAGACAGCTGTAATCAGATGGCTTCCTGCACGGGTGCACGTTCTCACTTAGGTAAGAGCTCAGAAGGGAAAACATACACAAACTGTAGAGGTAGTGCCATCCAGCTTGGTATGGTGGTCAGGAAAATGGCTCTGAGGAAAGAAGTGTCTGCTGAAAGGAGAACGACAAGGAGAAGCTGTAGAAAATCAAGGGGACCAAGCTGGCAAGCAAAGCCACCATGCTTTCCTAGATGCCGAGGCCAGGCTATGCTGGGTCTGAGGATCATGTGACAAGCATCTGCATCTAGTCAAGAAGCAATGAAAGTTGAGGAGTGATCAAAAGGGTCAAGGGACTTCTAAGATTAAGCGAACAAGATTAAGTCATGTGGTTGCCAAGAAGAACATGTGTTAGAGGGCTGAGGATGACACATGAGCCAGAAACTCTCAGTGCAGTGCCCAGGAGCAGGAGAACAGCAATCTCTCGGAGACCAGTTATCAGGAGCTGGCTGTCACTGCAAAGCAGGAGGCTGTGTTGGGGTAGAAGTGAGGGAAAGAGCATTACATGAAGAAAAATCAGATGTTTCTGTCTGGCTCTGGACACCTTCCCCCTGACAGATGCCCACTCATTAGTCACCCCTGTCTCTTCTTTCCTGGCCATCTACTGACTTTCAAACAGCTCAGGTGTCTCAGAGACAAACAAGCTTTTGCATTACTCTCCAGTGCTTCAGTTATCACAGTTAAAATGGTTGAAGTAATAGCAGAAGTATATGAGGATAATTGCAAAAGCCACCATTAGCCAGACAGTACATCCTTTGTTCCTTCTATGGCTATAAAATTCCCCAGTCCTGCTCAGTGTGTCCTATAGACCCAGTCTTTCTTCAGCTCTTAAGTGTGTGACTCGTTATCTCAGCAGGTGACTCAACAATACAACACAATTCTTTCCCCTCAGACATTATCAGCTGGCTCATTGAAATCACCTGACAGTATTAAAAGCTCAATGCCTGCTCACCCCAGCCCACAAAGTCTTTATTTTCATTATCTGAACTGTGGCTTGATCATCACTAGGAAAAAT